AAGAAAAATTAAAATATTTCCCAATAATTGAAAATGAACAAAAAAATACACAAGAAATTTTCATCAATTTTGAAATATTGGAAGATTTTCAATTTTTCTTTTTTTCAACGCCAAAAATTCCAATTTTTCTTTAGCAATTTTTAAAAATTCCCCGCCAAAAGAAATAAATTTTGAGAAAAAATTCGAAAATAAATAAAACCCAAATAATTCCATTAATTTTGAAATATTTCCATTTTTTCTTTCTAATATTTTCGAATTTAAAACAAAAATATTCCAATAATAATTATTATTGTTTTAGAGACAAATTTTCTGCACCACTAAATATACTTAAAAGCAATAAAATTTACCATTAAACATTTACTGCAGCATTCTAGAAAATACAAAATTAAAAAAGCCCATTTTTACGTTTTTAGGACAATAAAAAAAAGACCACAATTTTTCCCCAAAAACCTCGATATTTATACCAATATTTTTTGTTTGTTTCTCTATTTTTTTTTTTTTTTTTTTTTTTTTTGACTTTACCCGGAAAAAACAGTCGATCCAACTTTGGAGAATCATTGGAATGACATTATCAACAGTATCAATATCTTTGCCAAGAACATTTAGTACTCGTCCTAGTGGAGTTTGATCGAAAAAAGACATCAAAGCCTTCATTATAATTTTTAAAACACCAAGAAAAATTTCTTGCGATGCGTAAATAGCTCCAAGTGCAACTGTCACTGATTTCATACAAATCATCACGCCTAAAATTTGAAATTCAAAGAATAATAATTTTTATATTATTTTCTCCATAAACTTCTCTCTCTTCCTGATTACAAAAAATGTAATGCAACTTTCTCGTCTGATATTTAATATTATTCAATTATTATTTATTATTTTTATTATTATTTATAAATGAATTAAATAAATTAAATAGAATAAATAGAATAAATTATTAAATTATTATTAAATTTAATTTAATTAATTATTAAATAAAATAATTAAAATAATAAATATAATAAATATAATATAATAAATTATATTATAAATTAATCAATTTTTCTTTTGAGATTTTTTTTCTAAAATTTCTCTTTTCGTCCATTTAATAATATTTCACTTATTTTGTTGATTGATAATTATTAATTTCAAATACAAATTCTTTTCAGGTTTAATTTTAACTTAATTTTGAAATAATTCCAAAAATACTTTTTTTAAGAATTTTTTTTCTATTTTTGTTTACTTTTTGTTTATTTCTTTTTTGCTTTTTTGTTTTCTTCTTTTTTCTTCCTTCCTTTTGCATTTATAAAATTTTTTTCTTTTTTTATTTTCTTTCTTTCTTTGCATTTTATTATTTTTATTTTTTTGCTTTTTTGATTTTCTTTTTTGTATTTTGTTTTTGTTGCTATTTTTGATTAATTTTTTGTTTTCTTTTTCTTTCTTTTTTTGAAAGAATTGAATTAAAATAAAGTCCTGTATCAAAGTCTCAAGAAAGTTACTTAAAATTTTATAAAGATGAAAATTCTGAAATTGTGTTAATAATTATTTTTAATAAATGAAAATGAAATTTGGACATTTTATTTTTAACGCACAAAAAGCACATTAATGATGAGGACAAAAAAAAATGTGATTCTAAAGCAAGCTTTTATAAATCACAGTAAGTTTTATTTTGTATTATTTTTATTTATAAATAAATTTATAGTTTATTTATAAAAAAATTTCTTTTTTTTACCAAAAGCACAGTTTAAGCATTTTATTCATTGAGAGCCTGATATTAATTTTAATTAGCAATTTTTCACTTTACCAAAAAGCCAAAGAATATGAATATTTATAATTTTTTATTTTCAAATAAAATTTCCAGATAAAAAATTTTTTTTCGGGATAATTTTGAAAAGTTTTTTAGTTAAAAAACAAATTTTTCCAAAACACAACGGGTTTCAAGTCAAGAAAATATTTTTTAAGTGAATATTTTTCAACTCAATGCCTTTTAACTCGAAAATATATTTTTTAGTTCATATTTTTCGACTCAATGCTTTTTAACTCGAAATTATATTTTTTAGTTCATATTTTTCAATTTAAAAATATTTTTTCGTTTGAAAATATTTTCTAACTTAAAAATATATTTTTTCTGTTAAAAATATTTTCAACGTAATTTTTTTTTTGTTCCACAAAACATTTTGTAACTCAAAAATAATTTTTTAAAAACTTTTTAGTTTTTTTGGTTAAAAAATATTTATTAAAAACATTTTGGAAGCTTAAAAATATTTTTCAACCTAAAAACATTTTTAGTTATTTTTTCGGTTAAAAAAAATATTTGTTAAATTTTGGAAGCTAAAAAATATTTTTCAACCTAAAAATACATTTTTAGATTTTTTTTTTGTTAAAAATATTTGTTAAAAACATTTTGGAAATTAAAAGCCTTTTTTAATCAAAAAATACTTTTTCAGTTAAAAATATTTTCCAACAAAAAAGTAATTTTTTGCATTTAAAAAATATTTTCCAACAAATAAATAATGTTTCGCACTTAAAAAATATTTTTTCGCTAAAAAATCCTTTTTTTTCTTTCAAATCCATTTTTTTCCACAAAAAAGTAAAATTCAGGCGCTAATGAATTATATTTTCGAATCATAAAAATAAAATTAAGTTTTCCCTAATAGCATTTTTTTTTCAATTAACAATGACGAATATATTATTAGTATTAGTAATCTAATAATATAAATTTCTACTATTAGCATTATTTTCTTCTTTAAAAATACCTCAAAGAATTCTTCAATTAGAGAAGAAATTAAAAATGGTAAAGTATTATCGACAACATCAACGTCTCTCCCCAGACGACTGAGAGTTCGACCAATTGGTGTTTGATCGAAAAATGATATCGGAGCCCGAATAACGCAATCAAGAGCGCGTTTAAAAATATTTTCGGACGCAATTATTGCTCCTGATAAAATTGTGAGAAACATTGTGGGTGCCGCCAAGCCTATAAAATTAAAATATTATGCAAGTGCGCAAAAAAAGAAAAATTTCATATTTGTGCTGTGGGCATTAATAATTATATAAAAAACGTTCAATAAGCGTTAATTCATTTTTTTTTAATTTACAATATAACATTCAAATTTTAAAATTATTATTTCAAAAAAGAAAACGTGAGGCACGAGATTTATTCTTTTTGACAGACAAAAATTTTTTCCAACAAACAAAGGAGAATTTTTTTCAATTCTTCTTTTTGATTTTATTGAAACTTTTTCTTTCGTTTAATTAAAACTTTTTCTTTTTATTTAAATTTTATTTAAACAAATTCAATTAATTTAAACTAATATAATTAATTAAATTAATTCGAACTCCTTTTATCAATTTCATTAATTAAATTAATTCGAACTGATTTAATCAATTTAATTAATTTAATTAATTAAATTAATTCGAACCAATTTAATCAATTGAATTAATTAAAACCAATTTAATTCACTGAATTAATTTAATTTTATTATCAATTAATTAAATTATTTTCTTTAATTTAAAAAATTGTGATTTTTAAAAAATTGTTTTTCGCATTTCTTTTTTCAAAATAATTTATATTTTCATCAAATAAATAAATTCGAACTAATTTAATCAATTGAATTAATTTAATTTAATTTTCAATTAATTAAATTATTTTCTTTAATTTAAAAAATTGTAATTTCTAATTTTGAAAAAAAAAATTGTTTTTCGCATTTCTTTTTTCAAAACAATTTTTTTTTCATCAATTAAATTAATTCAAACTAATTTAATCAATTGAATTAATTTCATTTCATTTTCAACTAATTAAATTAATTTCTGAAATTTTCAGAATATTAATATTTTGAAAAAAAGAAGTCAGGATGAAAATCATTGTCTAAAAAAATAAACCTCGTGTTTTTCTAAGGAAAGGGAGAAAAAATGATTTGAAAAAATTTTCAATCACTACACAAAATGCAGTGGAAATAAAATGAATTTCGATGTTTTTTGTTAGTGCTGCATTCGCATATTAATTAAAAAGTGTTAAATATCTACAGGTGCTCGTTAATTCTTCTTCAATTCTACTCCTAGGCGTTGATTTTTTTGACAAAAAAATTCTTTCTTTTACTTCTTTTTCTTGAATAAATTATTAATTCGCTATTTTTCAGCTATTATTTCGCTAACAAATCTCATTTTCAAAAAAATTTCCCCCCATTTTCTATTTTCGTCTTTAAACAAAAAATTTATCAATTTATCATAAAAAGAAAATTTCTAGTTTAAAAAATTTTTATTATTAAAAATTCAAAAACCCATAATGTCAATATTTATACAAAAATTTCTTGTATGGAAAATTTTAGAAAAATACAGAAAAATTTCTAAAAATTCATCGAAAAAAAATTCATTGAATAGAAAATAGTATTAAAAAAATTTATAGAAAAAAAAATTCATAGTAAAAATATTCACAGAAAAAAAATTCTTATACTATGAATTTTCTTTCTTTGGATTTTTTTTACTATGAATTTTCTTTCTATGAATTTTCTTTCTACGTATGAAAATTGTTTACCTTTGAAATTTTTCAATAAAAATTATCTTTTCCCTTCAAGTTTTTCCCCTACAAAAAAAATCCGCAATTTATTTAGAAAAATCTCAAGAAAAATAGCAAAAAAAAAATTTAATTTTTCCCAAAAAAAACTCAACTACCTATTTCTCAGAAAGCTTAAGAACAAAAAAGTTTGAAATGCACAATTGAAAAAAAGGAAAAGATAAAAATATCTCAGCAAAATCGACACCCATTTCTTTGCACAGTGTGATTATTAATAAATATTATTTTCAAAATTGTGAAAATGGTTAAAAATCCGAATAGTTTTTGCATTAGTTAAACACAATATTTGTACCCATTGGTGGACCATGTGATGGTTTTTGGGGTATTTTTTTTTTTTTTTTGAAAATTTTTTTAGTGCGAATCGTTGTTATATCAAGAATTTCTTACTGCCTATTAAAAAAAATAGAGAATAATAATTCAAGTATCATTCTTGAGATTGATTTTTGCATACCGATGCAAGGCAAAATAACCAAGCTTTAATTGTTGGCGGTAAAACGTTATCAATGACGTCAATGTCCTTTCCAAAACGATTAATGACTCTGCCTATGGGTGTCGTGTCAAAAAATCCAACAGGCAATCGCAGAATGCCAAATAATAATTCAGAATGGAGCAGTTTGCTGCTTCGTAGGCAGCCAATGGCCATTATTATTTGTGCAAAACACACAAAAGAGGCTGAAATACATTTCAATTACACCCATCATCATTTTTCTTTTCTTTTCTTTTTATTAATTTTTTAAAAATTTTTTTACGATTTTTTTACTATTTTTTTTAGTCCCTTGAGTCACATAATTTGAAATTTTTTCTCTTTTCCAAATATTTTTGGAGAAATATTTCTTTTGTAATCGAAATCGAAAAGTTCTTTTATTACAATAAATGTTAATAATAACAATTTTCTTTACCAAAATTGAATTGAAATTTCTTTCAATAATTTGAAAATATTTTTTCATATTGTGATTTATAAAAAAATAACCAAATTTTTTTTTTAATTAGAAATAAAATTTTGTAGAGACATTTTTCAAATTCTCTCAGAAGTCATTGATTTGAAATAAGAAAATATCGCAAAGAATGGGAAATTAGTCTTCTAAAAAGAAACAAAAAAAAAATTTGTTCTAAATTTGTCGCGAGATTTCGAAACCGAATTTTTTTCTCATAGGACCAAAAAGGAATTGTTTATCAAACCAAAAAATTAATTAGACAAATTTTTATTGACTAACAAAATCTTATTAATAAAATATTTAACTACTTCTAATTTTAGAAATATTTTTTTTTGTATTTAATTAATAATCGTCATCAATTAAAATTTTGACCGTAAAATGAAAATTCGGTTCGATAATAATTCCAATTTTTGGAAAATGGGAAAATTTAGAAATTTAGAAATTTAGAAATTTAGAATTTCAGAATTTCAGAATTTTAGAAATTTAGAAACTTAGAAAATTAAAAATTTTGAAAATTTTGATATTTTGATATTTAGAAATTTAGAAATTTGAAAACTTGTTTAGAAAGTAATTAGCAAAAAACGAATTTTTCTGTATCAGTTCTTTTGTGTTTAAACTTGAATTTTTTTGCGAAAGAGCAGCAACATGCTGTCAATATAATTATAATTTTATAATTTAACAATTAACTGTGAAATATAGGGAGACGAATTGAAAAATTTTTGCAAACGAATCAAAAAAGAGGAATTTAATAACTTCATGCCAAAAATCTGAACTTTTCTTTGAAACTTTGATTAAAACTAAATTTTATTGCAAAAATCGGGGGGAAATGAAATATTTGAAATTAATTTTCGAAATACTACTTTAGAGGCTTCTAATTACTACTGAAAAGTTAACATTTAAGTGCTGGTCAACTTATACATGCAAATTATTATTTTTTCTTTAAATTCAGACAATAATTGTATTTTTAAGTATAGAAATTTAAATAAAAAAAGGAAAATTCAAATACAAAGAAAATTAAAAAATATTTTTCATTTTATTACCTAATTTTAAAAGGAAAAAAGGAAAATTTAATTTAAAAAAAATTATAAAAAGAAAATGAAAAAAACATTTTAAAAAAGAAAAATAGTTTCTAATTTTATTAACTTTTAATTTTAAAAGAAAAAGAAAAACTTAATTAATGAAAAGTAAAAAAAGAAAATTAAAATTAAAAAAATATCGTCTGAATTACAAAAGCAAAAACGATTAATCAATGAAAACTGAATGAAAGTTTGTCTCTCATAAACGTGAAATGTTAAAAAAAAAACTAATGACATGAGTATTTTTTCTTCATGAAAAATTGATTATGAATAAATATTGAACCACTGGATGAAAAAATAATTCGAAACGTAAACAAAATTCTTCTGAAACTTGACAAATATTCTCTTCCTTGTTTGGAATATTTATATTTTCCATCAGAATAATAATAATTAGCGACTCTTAATTAATTTCCCCGTTTACTTTTTTTTCTTCTTTTCTTTACAGGATTAACGAACAAGTCAATCCATTCAGCGATTCAATAATGATATGAAAATCACAAAAACAAAATTTTTCGCACATTCCCTAATTTTTCTATGAAAAAAAAACAGAAAAAAATCAAAAAACACATTTACGAATCACGAGATGATTTGATTTTTAAAAACACAATTATTTTTTATGGTCTAAATGTATATCTCTTAATTAATAGTTCTCCTTTTTTATAATTTTAGAATATTTTCCAAAAAAAAAATTTTTTTCTTAAAATTTATTTTAATTTTCAATTTATTTCAAATTATTTGAAATAAATTAGTGAATTGAATAAATTTCTATTGAAAATAAAAACAGTTTTCTGAAAAATCATTCTAGAATTTTTTTCTCCCCCCAAAAAATAATAATTCAGATAAAAAGAATTCATTTCGTTGTTCTTTTAAAATAATTTTGTAATAATAACAATAAATTATTTTATTCAAAATCGAATTTAAAAATTAAAATTTTTTAAATTTGAAAACAATTTTTGGTTTTTTTCTGAACAAGTGAACAAAACGAATGAAAAATTTTCTGAGAAGATGAGAATGTTTTTAAACTATTCGAAAAAAAAGAAAAGCAATGGAACAATCGAATAATGTAAATCACATCTAAATAAATGAATGTGAAAATAAACATTTCTCTAGAACAACAAAACGTGAAAATTTCAGTAATGATTCTTTGAAAAATGAATTGGTTGATTGAATATTATTATATAGTAATTATATTAAATTTTTCTATTAAAGCAAATAAAGAAAAAATTGAGTGAAAAAAATTACTTACCCTGTCCCAAACCTAATGCACTGTAAACTCCGAGATACATTTCATTATTGACTGTCTCATTCGTCGAGCTCACATTTTCATATCTTCCCGACCATTTTGCCAGCCAAACGTTAGATCCAATGCTGAACGATTGGAAAATTGCGTTCATCACTATCGTTGAAATCGATAAAAACCATCCAATTGATCTTAAATAGTGCGAGTATACTTTCCATTTTACCTGAAATGCAAAATTTTATTAAATTTAGAAACAAAATTGTCCCTATAAAAAATAAGAACTTAAGTAGATAAATTTTGAGCGCGAAACACGGGATTTAATTTATTATTCTTGGTCAAATTTTTTATTTGCAACATAAACTTTAATTTTCGAATGATTTCAGATTAAAAGTACAAAAAAATTATTAACTGATTATGAACTGTATTATTTTTAACAGATTAAATGTTATTTTTATTATTATTACTATTATAGTATTTTTTTATTTAAACACTGTATTTTTATTTTTATTTATAAATTAATAGAAGTTATCAACTTTACATAAATGTTATTATATTTAGCAAAGAGTCGAGACTATTAAATAAGTAAAGTATTTTCCAAGAGCACAAAAATAATGAAGCTAAATACCATAAAAGAGAGGAAAACATGTTGAATTTTAAGAAATTCGGATTTTTGAATTTTTGATAATTTTCGATAATTTTAGATTTTTTACCAAAGAGTCGAGACTATTAAATAAGTAAAGTATTTTCCAAGAGCACAAAAATAATGAAACTAAATGCCGTAAAAAAGAAGAAAAAATGTTGAATTTTAAGAAATTCGGATTTTTGAATTTTTGATAATTTTCGATAATTCTAGATTTTTTACCAAAGAGTCGAGACTATTAAATAAGTAAAGTATTTTCCAAGAGCACAAAAATAATGAAACTAAATGCCGTAAAAAAGAAGAAAAAATGTTGAATTTTAAGAAATTCGGATTTTTGAATTTTTGATAATTTTCGATAATTCTAGATTTTTTACCAAAGAGTCGAGACTATTAAATAAGTAAAGTATTTTCCAAGAGCACAAAAATAATGAAACTAAATGCCGTAAAAAAGAAGAAAAAATGTTGAATTTTAAGAAATTCGGATTTTTGAATTTTTGATAATTTTCGATAATTCTAGATTTTTTACCAAAGAGTCGAGACTATTAAATAAGTAAAGTATTTTCCAAGAGCACAAAAATAATGAAACTAAATGCCGTAAAAAAGAAGAAAAAATGTTGAATTTTAAGAAATTCGGATTTTTGAATTTTTGATAATTTTCGATAATTCTAGATTTTTTACCAAAGAGTCGAGACTATTAAATAAGTAAAGTATTTTCCAAGAGCACAAAAATAATGAAACTAAATGCCGTAAAAAAGAAGAAAAAATGTTGAATTTTAAGAAATTCGGATTTTTGAATTTTTGATAATTTTCGAAAATTGTAGATTTTTTACCAAAGAGTCAAGACTATTAAATAAGTTCAGGAATTTAATTATTTTAATAAATAAGAATTTAAATATTTTTCCTAAATTTCTCGTGAAAATTAATATATTTTTTTAGAAATTTTTACGTTTTTACAAAATAAATTTAATTATTTTTCAAAATTTAGATATTTAAGTTATTAAAAAAAGAACATTTCGAATTCTGTAAAAGACTCAAAAAAATAAACATAAAGTATCAGTAAAAAAAAAATCCAAAAAGAATACTCACACTTCCAGTTTCCGTTTTTTCTGTTTCAATTAATTTCTCTCCGGTTACAATTTTTGCCGCTTCGTTATCTTTGATACTATTTGTTCGATTGAGACTTCCAGAATGTTGACTTTCCGTAGATTGCGCTCTTTTTCATTAAAAAAATAAAATATAAAATCATTATTATTAGTTATATTATTCATTAAACATTACAAAAAAAAGAAAGATTTCACAAAATTAGCAAAAGTCAAAATTCGATCAAAACTAAAATAAAATTCTTACAAATTTAAAAATCAATATACCTTTGAAGTGAACCGTTTAATGATTTTTTATCCGATGTTGTAATCGATTCAGGATAATTTCCCGATATTTGAGTCTTGACGTATGACAATTTTTGCTGTAATTCATCTTTTCCAATCGTTGTTTGTAAACTTTGTTTTATTTCATCCAAATCGCCGTCCGCAACGTCGTCCGGTTTCACTGTTAAAATAATTTTATACTAATATTATTACATAAAAAATAAACAAACAATAAACAAATTATTCTTCTCTCCAACTATTTATAATTTCCGTTTTTTTTCAACATTAAAAAAGAACATTTAAGTTCAAAAAAAGAAGAAGAAGAAAAGATTTACTTATTATTTAATTTAATTTTGAGTCTATCAAGCTTTCCGAGTCGTGAGACTCGGAAAGATTGATAGACTCAAAATTAAATTCTTTCACAGAGGGATAAATTCATAAAGATCTATTTATATTTAAAAAAAAAATTGAAAAGAAAAATACTTTAAAGCAAAAAATAATCACTATTTAAAAATAAAAAGAGAAAAATTTCTCACCTTCCTGAAGATGTTGTACAAGAAATTCAGCGAAAGCCCCACGTTTAGCGAGAAGTTCTTTAAAAGTGCCAATTTCCGAAATTTCACCGTCTTTTAAAACAACAATATTATCGACCTTTGGCAAATAAGTGATGCCATGAGTGACGAGGACGCGTGTTTTTTTCCTTATAAGTCCCTGGGGACCCAATAAATGTTCGAAAATATGTTTTCCCACATGTGAATCAACGGCGCTCAATGGATCGTCGAAAAAATAAATATCGGCATTATTATAAATTGCCCTTGCCAATGAGACTCTTTGCTTTTGTCCGCCTGATAAATTAATTCCCTTCTCGCCAATTTCCGTTTGATCGCCGGCCGGCAACATTTTTAAATCCGGTCCCAATGCACACGCCTCAACGACTCTATTGTAAATTGTTTTATCTAAAGTTTTGCCAAAAAGAATATTGTCCTGTAATGTTGCATTTTGTATCCATGCCTGCTGCGAGACATATGCGATTGAACCCTGAAAATAATTAAATTCCATTGTAGCGCATAAAATTTATCTAAAAAAATCTTTTTACTTTTTCTTTTAACTTCAGCTTTTTTTAATTATTTATTTATTTAGTAAATAATAAATTAGTAAATCAAACTATTTTTTTGTTAAACTTTTTCTGGTAATTATTGATATTTTTTTGTATCTTTTTCCAAAGTCCGAAATTTTTTTTAAATTTTGAATCAAAATTTTTGTTACAACATTACTTTTGTCTTAAAATTAAATAAATTTTACGATATAGAATTTCGAGTATTTACCTTTGTGTTAACTCTGCCATTTAATTTGTAAGTTTCGCCCAAGAATGCTGAGATCAATGAACTTTTTCCTGAGCCAACAGTACCAACGACAGCGACCAATTGATTTTCCTCGATTTTAAGATTAATGTTACGCAAAACAGGAGTGTCTGTTTGCTCCGAATCCCAAGCAAATGTGCCTTTTTCTATTACTAACGGATAAGCTGCAAAAAAAAAAAAACAAAAAATTAATTCCTTTTTTTTAAAAGAAAAGTTTTAAGAGAAAAAAGAAGAAAAAATTTTTAAAAATTTCTAAACCTACAAAGAAATAAATTTGTAAATCTATACAAAATACTAACGTTCGTTTGAATCGTGATGAACATTGTCTGGATCCAATTCTTCCGAATTCATAAATTTATTTATACGTTTTACCGAAACGGAAGCCTGTAAAAAGAAATTTTCATTTTAAAAAAATTACAATTAAAAATAATTACAGTTTTAAAAAAACAATTACAATTTTCAAAGATTTCAAGTTAAAAATCATTTGAAATTTAATTATTTCTAAAAAATTTTTCTTTTAAATAAAGTACAATTAAAAATAATTACAATTTCACAAAACAATTAAAATTTTCAAAGATTTCAATTTAAAAATCTTTTGAAATTTAATTATAACTAAAATTCAATTTTAAATCAGTTTTTTATTAGGAAATTCTACGCGAAATCAATTATTAAAATAAAAAAAATTAATAATTTATTGAATAATTGAATATTTCTTGAAATTGAATTCTTATAAAGAATTTTATCAAAAATTTCTTTAAAAAAATTGTATTCTTTCGAAGACTTCTAATAAAAATTTTTAAGAATAACTTTTTCGACGAATTAATTTAAAAATGTATAAAAATAATTTAATAAAATAATTGAAAGTCAGCGATAGTTTTCATTATTTATGAAAATAATTAAATTATAGGAAAGAATAAAATTTATAAACATTTATTTAAATATTTGAATTTTTTCGAAAATTTTAATGAAAATTGTATTTAAAATCATTGAATTACAGTGAAAATTTTTCTTATTTATGAAAATAATTGAATTTCTGCGAAGAATTTTATTAAAATTTTTGAAAATAATTGAGTTTGTGAAAGAATTGTGTTATTTATAAAAAATAATTGAATTCTTGCGAAAATATTTATTAATTTTGAAAATAATTGAATTCGTTCTACGAATTTTATGAAAATTGTCTTGAAAATATTTCAATTCTCATAAAGAATTTAATCAAAATTTTTCAAAATAATTGAATTATTGCGAAGAATTTTATTATTTAGAAATAGAATTAAATTTTTTTTTAAATATTTAACTATATTTTTTTCTTATGAACAATTTTATTGAAATTTTTCAAAATATAATAAAATTTTGTAGAAGAATTTTATTGAAATTCTTTAAAATAATTAAATTGTTGCCAAGAATTTGATAAATTATGAAAATAATTGTAAGCTTGCTGAGAATTTTATTAAATTTTAATTTGAAAATGTATTCAAAATATTTCAATTCTCACAAAAAATTATAATCAAAATTTTTTAAAAAACTGTTGAATTTCTCAGAAGAATTTTATTATTTATAAAAATAATTAAAGGAGAACTTTATTAAAATTATTCTATTGAAAATAATTGAATGTCAAAAAAATTTATGAGAATTTTATCAATATTTTTGTGAATAATTTTTTTATGTTTCAATTTTCAGGGAATTTAATGTTGTGCAAATTCTCTCTCAAAAAAAAAGAAATGAGTGTGAAACCTGTAATTTTTCTACTGTTTACGTACCTGAACGACATTGCTGATCATCATTGGTAACATGGAGAGGGGAAACCTCAAAATATTAAAATAAGTAAGTGAAACGAATGCTGTACTACTGTCCAAAATATTATTTTCATCAACGAGTACAAAAGTGGCGAACGATACCAAAGAAACCTGAAAAAAAGAAAAACATTTGCAATAAATATACTATTTAATTTCCATTTCCATTTTTTTTTTTGAAAAAAATTTAGTTTCATTAAAAAATAATTTTATTTTAATTTTTTTATTTCGTAAATACATGAAATAATACTCACCAAAAATGGTGCGCAAGACCAAATGAAACTTGTGCCCGCATTAAGATAAGCAGCCTCTTTAAGAACTTTAATTTCCTTATTACGAATTTTGAGAATTTGCTCCTCAAACGATGGTTCCCAGGCATAAAGTTTCAATACTTTTATTCCACTGAGAACTTCATTCATTAATTTAACGCGTTCGTCTTTATTTTTCATTTGTTTTATCTGTAAATTTCTCACTTTCCCAGCGATCAAGGCATTAACGGGAATTAATATAATCATCACAGCCAAACCGGAGAGTACCGATGGTCCTAAGCATTCCCACAAAAAATAAAGTGCAACTGCAATTTGCAATGGCGCCGACCATATCATATTAATGTATGCAGTCACATCCATAAATCTTTGTGCATCAACTGACATTAAATTGACAATTTCACCAACTGTCGTTTCTTTGCGCGCTGAATTTGATACGCGCAATGCTTTTCGATAAATTGCCGCTATTAATGCAGTACGAATACGTAGACCAACCAAAAACATACGATGAAAATATTGTGACAATATTAATGTTTGAAATACTGCTGTTAATAAGAGTATTACTGCATAAAAATAACCCTTCCACATATGTTCATCTTGATTTGGATTTTGTACGAATTTTATCAATTTTCTGTGAAAAAAAAGACAAAAATTTATATTAACAACAATTTACAATTATCAAATATCAAATTCAATTTCTTACTAATTTCCGATTCAAAAATTAAAATATTTCACAATTATTAACTATATAAATAATTACACATACGTAATTATTATTATATTCTAAAACTTTCATTGAATTCTTCGAAAAAATTCAAATTTTCAAAAATTAGAATAAAATTCATTAAAACAAATTTAATTATTTTCAAAAATTTCAATTACATTCTTTGCAAAGAATTCTATTATTTTCAAAATTAATTAATAAAGTTATATAAATTTAATTTTATTCTCCGAAAGTAAAATTAAATTAAATAAAAATTCGCCATACAAATTTTCACTTAAATTATATTAAAATTATTAGTAAAATTATATTATTAATAATAAATATAAATAAATAATAAATTATTACAATTATTATTAAATTATATTTAAAATAATTTTGAATTTATTTTGTCGTTTAAAATTAAAAAAAAGGAATAAACATCTGCTGAATAAATACTTAAAAATGAAATGAAAAAAGGAAAGTTTTAAAATTTTAAAGCATTTTATCCTTGAAAAATGTGAAATTAGCAGGCGGTCTAAACTTTCAGGTAGAAAAAAAAGGAAGAGGACTTACTCTAAAATCTTTGGGCTGACGAAGGTCATAATATCCTGAATAAGTTTAAGTGATGCGCCAAACAAAAATGTTGGACCAAATGCCTTGCACAATGGCGATAGAATTGATGCCGTTTTCTTTTTATTCATCGAATTGAGATTAATTTGTCCTGATCCCTTTCGAAATGACGCCTTAATACCTTGTGAACTGCAACAATTGGCTTCTCTTTTAAAATGCAATATAATCAGATCCTAATAGTACGTAAATAATCATTGGCACTCTTAATTTTTAATCTTACCTTAATTCATCACTCCATGGTTCATCTCTATTTTTGTTCGCACAAAAAAGAAACAAGACAAACAAAAAAAAGTCAAGTATAAACGACGTTTACGTACAACTAGGATTTTTCTTCTTCTTCTTCTTCTTTTTATTTTAAATTTCATCATTTTCTTTAAGGTGCTTCATCCAAAAGATAATTTTTATTTAGAAATTAACAGGCTTAATTAATTAATTAATTAATTAATTAAGCCTTTGAATACAAATAATTATACAAAAATATTGAAAAACTAACTTTAGAAAAATAATTAAAATATAATTTTACAGGGTTGCCAGAAAAATTAAATTTTGTTCTTCCCTGACTGAAATTTTGCGAAGAGTTTTATTAAAATTTTTGACAATAATTTAATTCTTGAGAAGAATTTCTTTATCTATTTATAAAGATAATTTAAATTTTATTAAAATTCCTTAAAATAATTGATTTTATGGGAAGAATTTTTTTGTTTATCAAGCTAATTGAATTCTTTTGCAGAATTACTCAAAAAAAATTTGAAAATAATTGATTTTCTGAGATGAATTAAAAGTTATTTATGAAAATATTTGCATTACTGCAAAGAATTTTATTATTTTACTGAACATTGAATGTTTCTTAAAATTGAATTCCTTCGTCAAGTTTTAATAAAATTTTTAAGAATAATTGCATTTTTCGAGGAATTTATTTAAAATTAAATTAAAATTTGAATTGAAATTTGAAATTTTGTGATGAAAATAATTGAATTCCTAAATGAAATTTTATTATTTATGAAAATAATTGAATGTTTTCGTAGAATTGTATCAAAAAATTTTTTCAATAATTAAATCCTTTGATAAATATTATGAAAATAGTAAATATTGAAAATTATTGAATTGCGAAAAACTTTTGAAAATAATTGAAATTTTGTAAAGAATTTTATTTAAATTTTAAGAAAATAATTGAATTTTTGGCGAAAAATTTTGCTATTTTTAAAGATAATTGAATTCTTGACAATATATTAGGCAAAATTTTTAAAAATAATTGAATTTCTTCGAAGAATTTTATTATTTTTGAAAATAATTGAATTCTTGCGATGAATATTGTTATTTTTGAAAATAATTGAATTTTGCAAAGAATTTTATTAAAATGCCTCAAAATAATTGAATTTCTGTAAAGAAATTCAATTTTCTTATTTATCAAGATAATTGAGTTGAAACATTTTAAATAATTAAATAATATTAAGGTTTTGTATAAAAATTGAGAATTTTCTTTTGAATTCTAATCATTTAATTTTTTCCAGTACTTTTAATAAAAATTCCTGACTTTTCCCTGATTTCCCTGACTTTTCCCTGAATTCCCCGATTTCTCTGACTTGTGGCAACCCTGTTTTAATATCTAATTATTTATTTTTAATTCAATTGTATTTTCTGAAAGAACAAGAATAGAAAATCAAGAAAAAAATTGCAATCAAATTTATAAAAATTGTATAAAGAAATAAACTTTGCTTAACATTTTTTTCTCTTGAAAATTTAAATGTTTTTCTGGCAAATACAAAATATTAATTTTTTAAATGTTGATTAATTTTCGTCTCTCTAAATTAGTGAATAAATTTTTTTTTAATGTATTTTATTCTTTCTTTGGATGAAAGACCTTAATAATAAAAAACAGTTATTGAAATATATAGTTTCTTTTTTTAATTTTTCTATAGTTCTTTTCTATAACTTATTTTTAACCTAAAGCCAGAAGGACAGAAAAAACTTACTGCTCTGTTTTGTTGAGTTTTGCATTCCAGTATTTGTCGAAGCGTGGAACAATTTCGTGAGCCATATCTTCAGGATTCATGGACCAAAGGTCACCAGTTTCAAGAGGTTTTTTGAATCCCTTCCATGCCAGAGAATTGAACCAATTAAAGAAAAGTCGAGATGGAAACGAAGCACTCTGCTCTGGACATGGCTTTTCAATCTTCAATTAAAAAATAGAATATAAATAAATAAATACATAAATAGATACGAAAATAAAGAAAATTACAAAATAACATTAGTTCGAAGCAAAAAGTAGAAAATTTTATAAATTTTCTTTTAAAAAACTCCAAAAATTGCGACTCATTTGTTTTTCTTCGAATTTTCAGAGTTTTTTTTCCTAATTTGTAAAATAATAACAATAGAATTTGTAAAATAATAAATAATAAATATCTTAAAGATTAAATTTATTATATTTATATTTATTATATTAACATTAAATTATTAAAAATAATAATTACTATTCACGATAATAATTAAGTAATAAAATATAAATCCACAAATTGGATCAATTATATTCCACTCTATAGATAATTAAGAAAACAAAAAAATACATACAAAGAAGAAGCCAATAAGAAAGAAAATACTCACCCGAGCATAATCAGTGACTTTGGGTTCGGCGTCGACGAAAAAGTTGAGCACAAATAATATCACAACAAGTGGATAATAAATCATGTATGATACAAATTCATATGTAACTTCCTCCTGAAATAAACAAAAAAACACAGTTTTGTTAAAACCTCAGCAATAAAATTCAATTTACAAATAAAGATAACACATATTTGCGAAAATCTGCAAACTTTGAGATAAATTACATAGTCATTAAAAAGTGATTTACATTCCTCTAGAGTGGCAGTTCTTTTTTTTTTTGTTTGTTTACCTTCAACGACGATGATCTTAATAAACTTCTATAGCGAACGCATCCAAAAAGTGCATGTAGAAACCAAAAGAGGAAAATTAATCCTGAAGTACGCATGCCAAACTTTTTGTTATAAACAACAAGTACAGCTGCCAAAATCTGAAATGATACAAAATTTTGCAATTTATGACTTTTTAATTAATTCTCTCTTGCTATTTTTATAATCTTTTTTTCTCAATTGCTTTTCTAATTTTTTTTCTCATCTATTTTCTGAATATTTTTTTTTTCTAGGCATAAATTTTCTTTCTTGCAAAAAGAATGACACGTTTTTTTTTCTCTATGTTACGTAACGGAAAAAAAAGAACTTTTATGGTGTTGTTTTAGGAAAATTGATTTTTACTTACGTAACTAAATACGTTTATACAGGGTGTGTAGAAATCCACATTATAAACTACTTTGTAAGTACTAAAATGAAGAGCCATCGCTAAATCGACTATGGCAAGAATAATAAGTCCTATGGTAAGTATCAGTTTCGATATAAATAGCCATGTGTAAGGAATATTTCTTTTCCTGCTATTCAAAAGGTAAAATACTTCTATTATTGAAAAAGTCCAAAGGAAAATACACGGTATCCATACGAGAACTGTTTTTTGAAAACATTCCGTCACATCGGGATCGTCCGTGTTCCATGTTAAGTTTGCATCCTAAAACAAAACAAAAAATTCATATTTTATTATTTACAAATAGGAAATAATTACAAATTTCTAATTAACAATTTTACCCCCAGGGTTGAAATTTAAAAAAAATTAGAAAACCATAAATTCTTTCCTTAATTCAACAAAAAAGAATAAATACAATAAAAATATAATTTTTCCAATTATTCAATTGTTCGGAAATTCTTCATTATATTAGAAAATAAAAACTTGCAATAATTTTCTTAAAAATTCGATTTTAATTAAATTCTTCGAAGAAATTTAATTATTTTCAAAAATTTCAATAAAAAATTGAAATCATTTTTTTAAAAATTCGATTTTAATTAAATTTGTCGAAGGAATTCAATTATTTTCGAAAATTTTCATTTTCATTTTTAGCAAAGCATTTTTTTCATAAATAATAAAATTCTTGCCAGCAATTCAATTAATTTCAAAATAATTAATTCATTTTAATTTAATTTTAATTAAATTCGTCGAAAAAAATTCATTATTTTCCAAAATTTCAATAAAATTCTTCACAAAAATTCAATTATTTTCATAAATTGTAAAATTCATTTCTTTTTGTAAATAATATAATTCTTCTCAAAAATTCAATTATTTTTATAAATAATAAAATTCTTCTGAAAAATTCAATTATTTTTAAAAAATTTGACTAAAATTGTTACTGAAATTTAATTTTAAATCAATTTTTGTTAGAAAATTCTACGAAAATTGAATTATTTAAATATAAAAATAAATAATTTATTGAATAATCGAATGTTTCTTAAAATTGAATATTCAGAGAAAATTTTATCAACAAATTTTAAAATAGTTGAATTCTTATAAAGAAATTTATCCAAATTGTTCAAAATAATTAAATTTTTTTTAAAAATAGTTAATTACATTTTTTGATAAACAATTTTATTGAAACTTTTCAAAGTATAATAAAATTTCTGAGAAGAATTTTATTAAAATTCTTTAAAATAATTAAATTACTGCGAATAAATTGTATAAATTGAGAAAATAATTTTATTTATGCGAAGAATTAGAATAAAATTTTCGAAAATAATTATCGAATTTTGTCTAGGAATTTAATTAAAATATTTGAAAATAATTGAATTTCGGAGAAGAATTTTAATATTTATAAAAATAATTTAATTTATGCCATGAAATTAAATTAAAATTTTCTAAAATAATTGCATTTTTCCTAGGAATTTAATTGAAATCGTATTAAAAATATTCCAATTCTCATAAAGAATTTAATCAAAATTTTTCAAAATAATTAAATTCTTTTAAGAAATTTTAATACAAATTTTATTAACAATTGAATTCTGTCAACAAAATTTTATTAATTATAAAAATAATTGAAATTTTGGTAACAATTTTATTAAAATTTTTCGAAATAATAAAATTTTTGCGAAAAATTTTATAAATTATGAAAATAATTGAAATTTTATCAAGAATTTTATTAAAATTTTTGTATATAATTGAATTTTGGATAAGAATTTTATTCATTATAAAAATAATTGAAATTTTGCCAAGAAGTTCATTAAAATTTTTGAAAATAATTGAATTTCGGAGAAGAATTTTAATATTTATCAAAATAATTGAAATTTTGCCAAGAATTCAATTAAAATTTTTCAAAATAATTGAATTTCGGAGAAGAATTTTATTCTTTACAAAAATAATTGAAATTTTGCCAAGAAGTTAATTAAAATTTTTGAAAATAATTGAATTTCGGAGAAGAATTTTATTATTTATAAAGATAATTGAAATTTAAAAAAAATTTTGAACATAATTAAATTAAAGAAAAAATAGAAAAAAAGGGAAAAAATGGATAAAAAAAATTCCTCAAAAGTGAAAAAAGTAACAAAAAACTGATTGTTTCACAGAATAATGAAATTAAAAAGAATACAATTTGCTCACTTTTGATTATTGAAGCGATTTAAATTTGTTCTATTTAACCCGCATTTTCTTATCTTATTAGAAACTGACGTAATCTTTAAATGTTGATAGCCACTGGATATAATTGTTTCAATTCCACCAATATTGACAGAAGCAAGGGCATAGAAAACTGAGATTAATAAATTTAACATTGTTTCATATTCGTTATATATTATTTTTTATTATTATTCCTCAATCGAGTTTAAAATTTTTCAAGAGAAATAAATCATCACGAATTGTGTCAATGATTAATGAGAGCATTCAATTTAAAAATTAAAGACGATTAAAAGTAATGATTAAAAACTACTTTACGTGAATTCCATGTTCAAAGGATATTTCAACCTTGAGCTTTGATTTTCTTCTATAATAATAGACTTGTATGTATTTCTTTCATCAACCATGAAAGTTGCATTACTGTAAAAATTCTCTTATACTCTTTTTACTGTACAATTATTTTATCAAAAAAAAAAAAAAAATGTTGACTCGATAAAATAATTTTTAATTTCATATCTTTAATATCAAAAGTAGAGCAACTTGAGTCAATTCGAAAATAAGAAATTCTTCAATTCTTCAAGAATTAAAAAATCAAATCAATTATTTTATCCGAAAACAAGCAACTCTTCTTGTATAAACTGAAAATTCAATATAGCACACTAACGGTATGTCTATAACTGCAATATATGTAAATTATCATTGCAATTTTAAGTATCACGCGTGGAACTATTCAAGAAAACAATCAAAAGTCAATTTTCTGAATGAGAGAATTTTTACTTAAAAAATGAATTATTCCAAATGTTCTGAATTAACCCTAAAATTTTCGAATTTTTACGTTATAATCCTTGTGATGTAAATTTTTCCTGTTAAAATACATAAAAAAAAAAAAAATGGTACAAACTAGAAAAAGGAGAAGAAAAACTTACCCAAAACTTGGAGCCACAAAATTGGTCCAAAGTGTGATTCTCCATTCTGACACATTTATTCCCGCGTTTGCGAGTTTAACAAACAATCACAATTGACACAAAATAACCGATTTTACACTTATTTTAATTCAAGTTGACTACTACTATGGCCTTTAATTGGAATCACATCAATGTCGCGACTAAAAGGGTTTTTTTTTCTTTCCTTTCCTTTACGAATAATTGACCGTCCGTTCTTTCATTTCTTTTTTGCAAAAAAAAATATTACAATTAAACACTTGAGAAATGATGAAAAACTTTGAAAGAAATACTTTTTATTTGAAAGAAATAGATGAGAATTTTCTTAAATAATGAAAAATAAGTACTGTGTATAATGCTTGTGAATGCGATGGTCTCAAGTTCGCGAGTAATCGCGTTTTTCCGGTCAGTTCGGCTCACCAACCTCGTGTAACTCAGTGTAACTGAAAATTAATCAGTGTTGGTGATTTATATGTTTGTATATGTTTATACATAGTGAAATTGCTGACATTTTCTCACATTTTCTCCCTCTGCGCATGTTTATTTTTCCTTTGTTCTCTGCAATTTTCCCCTAGACACCTGGGTTTTTCCCCCACTCAATTCAGGGCAGTGCGCAAGCGCCAAGATGGCCGACCAATCACAAACTGGCGGGAATTTCAAATTGTCACTAAATTCAAAAAATTCCCGCTTGGCCATTTTTATTAAATATAAGCGCGAGTTTATTTCTTTTTTCAATTTTTATATAAAATAGAAGTTTTTAAAAAAATATTTTTTTGCAAAAACAATCCTATGGTTTATAAACTTTTATAAATAAATCTTCTTCAATTATTCAATTGCCATTGAGATTTATATAAGTAATTTTCGTGCAGAAGTCACACGACGAGGTCACATCATTTATGGAAGTTTTATGTGTTAGGAAATAGTGATACAAATTAAGTTATGCAATTCGCCGCAATAAAAGAGAAAAATTACGGTAAACATTATAATTTGTCGTGTGTTATAATAACTTTAACAGATTTCATCAGAAGGATCAGAAGTTTCAACGATTTTAACTTTTTCAAACAATTTATAATTTATTTTTTAAATTGAAATAAATCAAAATGAAGATAATATTAATGAGAAGAAAATTTACTAAAGTATTTTTGTTTTTATTACCAATTACCAACGTTACCAACAATTATTATGATTGTGAAATAATAATTACACGACAGTAAAAAAAAAAATACCGTTTTTTCTATTTTTAGGTTATGTTTGAAAAATCACGTCAATAATTGTGACATAAATTGGTGCAAAAAAAAAATAAAAATAAAATAACGAGTCATTCTGATGATGACTTTCACACTATTATATATTGTTCTTTAACTTCCTATTAAGGCTATTAAGTGATAAAACAAATTAAAACTTATATAATTATTCGGAAATTCTTTTTTTTCCTCAAAAGAGTATTTTTAGCAAATTTTAACGAAAAGGAAGTAGAAATATTACATAAAAAAAAGAAGAATGAATATATTTCTCTACATTATTCGTTTTCAACCCAACACTATATTTATGTTTCCTGATAATATTTCTTACAATACGCTATCACTTTCGTGCTTATCTCTTATTTGTCTGATATACCTGTATTTTTATTTGAAAATAGATCCTTCTGTAAAAGAAAATCTACACTTGAGAAATTTTTTTTTCTTTGACACACACTATAAATAATTACCATAATCTGAATTACAAACAATTGTAAAAAATTATTACAAAATTTGAAAATTTTTCTGGCTTTTTTCAAAAATTATTACCTAATTAGGTATTTTTAATTAAAATCTAACATTTCTTTTCTGTTATTTCATATTTATTTCTTTTAATAATTTTGAATCTGAAATAATTGAATTCTTATGAAATTTTAAAAAATAATTGAATTCCTGCAAAGAATTTTTATTAAAATTCTTCAAAATAACTGAATTCCTGGGAAGAATTTTATTGATTATGAAAATAATTTAATTCCTGTGAATAATTTTGTTGAAATTTTGGAAAATAATGAAATTTTTTCGACGAATTTAATTAAAATTCTATTAAAATTAATTATTTTCAAAATTAATTAAATTGCTGGTAAGAATTTTATTATATAAAATTTATCTATTTATCTATTTTATAGAAATTATTTGAAATAATAAAATTTTTGCAGGGAATTTGATTAAAATTCTTCAAAATAATTAAATTCCTGTGATGAATTTGATTAATTATAAAAATAATTGAAATTTTGATATGAAATTAAATTAAAATTTTCAAATGTAATTGAATTTCTTCGAGGATTTTAATTAAAATCGTATTAAACATATTTCAATTCTCATAAAGAATTTATTCAAAATTTTTCAAAATAATTGAATTTCTGCAAAGAATTTTATCAAATTTTTAAAAAATAATTGAATTATTTTCAGAAATTTTATTTGAAATTGTATTGAAAATAATTCAATTCCTGCGAAGAAATTTATTAAAGTTTCTGAAAGTAATAAATATTAATAAGTAATTAAGTTAATAATGTGAAATATTTTTCAATTTTAAATCTGAAATTATTCCAAAATTAAAATTACTATTTAAAAATAAAAAAATTTTGATTTGTATTATTTTGTTTAATATAAAAACAACTTTTTTTTTTGCTTTTTTGTACAAAAAATTGATTATTTTATTAAAATATAAATTACAGTGTTATATTTAAAATTCCAATTCTTTACAATATTTCATATAATTATATCTATTTACATTAGTTATTAAAATGAAATTAAATAATAAGATAAAATCATTGTCAGTAAAAAAAACAATATTGAGAAAAAGAACAATTTCTAAATTGAAAAATAAATCTTTCAAAAAAACCGTAAACTGTAAATAAAATTTCTATTTAAAATTTTTATTTAAAATCATTTAAAATTACTATGTAAAAGTATTTATAGTAATACCATAAGCAATATAGTAATGTTTATAAATAAACTCATTTTCCATGAATGATAAAAAAGACATTGTCGATATTTAAATGCGAAAATTGTTAATAATTTGAAAAGAATAATCAAACTTGAATATCGTATATTATTTATCCATTAAAATATTAATTCAAAAATTGATTTCTATTTTCTACTTTTTAATTCGTCTTTCTTCTTTTCTCTTTAACAGATTTTTTTCTTTAAATACTTTTTTTCCTTTTTGTTTTTTTATAATAGAGAATAAAAATTGATTTTTCTAGGTAAGAATAGAAAATTCGAATTAATATTAAAAAGTACAAAAAATTGTTTCGTATCGAAAACAATATTAAATTATACTTTCAGTTGAAACTTTCAACTTTCGAGATTTATTACCTCCGATTTTAAATAAATTGTATTTAAATAAAAACGAAAAATAAATATTTCCTTTTTGCAAGAAAAAAATAATTAACTGTCGATATAATTTTTACATATACTTTAAAGAATAATAAATATATATAATAAAATATTTCTTTACCTTTGTAAAAAAAAGAAATTTACGTGTTATTGAAAAGTAGAGATAACAATTCTGGTTGTTCCAAATTTTGCTTGTACTTGAGTACCATGTCTTGGATTTTTAATCGTCTTCGTACATGCGGCGGATGATAACTGAAAAATTATTTTAAAAACGAAATGAGAAATAAGAAAAAGAAAATAAATGTTTGTTTTATTAATATAATAATTAATTACAATTTAATAGAAAATGGAAAACAATAATTTAATAGAAAATAATTATTTAAATAATTTAATAAGAAAAATTCTTTTCTTTAACAGAATAAAGAAAGTTTATATTGAAAAACTTATTGTAATGAATAATTATCAGAATTTTTGTTTTATTAATATAATAATTAATTATATAATTTAATAGAAAATAGAAAACAATAAATAGAAAAATATTAAATAAAAAAATGAAAATTAGACGTACCTATCGTTGTCGAGTCGTCGTCTACGACCCATATTTAATGCTGTTTGTCTAACTAGACTACCGAGTGCTCTTCGGGGAACAACCATCCCATCAATTAAAGGTGTGGCTAAATTAATTCTAGAAATAGGTCCTTGCAGTCTAACTCTCATTAAACCATTGTCCAGGGCTTGTAAAAAGATAACGTGAACATCAGAAGTTGTCACAATTCTTGTACTGCTGAGTCCTGTATTTGTGCACGGAAGTAATTCACCTAAAAAAATTTTTTAATTTTTTCAAAGAAGAAAAAAAACTACCAATCAATCAATAAATTTCATTTGAAGTAATATTTGAACTAAAGGTCATTTTTTTATTTTTGTGACTAAATAAATAAACATTTTTATCATTTCAATTCAATTAACATTTTCTAGAATTTTTAACAAAAAATTCTTCTTTAAATCAATAATAATTTTTCAAAAAGTTCTTCTTCAGTATTTTCAAATTTTTAAAAAAAATTAAATTTATTAAATTATTTCAAATAAATTAATTCTACCAAATTGTTAATTAAACGGACCAAAAATTTAGATTATTTTCAAATATTTTAATGAAATTCTTGGCAAAATTTCAATTATCTTTATTAATAATAAAATTCTTCTCTGAAATTCAATTATTTTCAAAAATTGTAATTGAATTCTTGGCAAAATTTCAAATATTTATACAAAAAATCAAATTCTCCAAAATTCAATTATTTTCAAATATTTTAATGAAATTATTGGCAAAATTTCAATTATCTTTATAAATAATAAAATTCTTCTCCGAAATTTCATCATTTTCCAAAATTTCAACAAAATTCTTCACAAAAATTCAATTATTTTCATAAATTGTAAAATTCATCGCAAGAATTCAATTATTTTCGAAAATTTTAATGAAATTCTTGGCAAAATTTCAATTATCTATATAAATAATCAAATTCTCCGAAATTCAATTATTTTCAAATATTTTAATGTATTTTGTGGCGAAATTTCAATTATCGTTATAAAGAATAAAATTCTTCTTCGAAATTCAATTATTTTCAAAAATTTTAATTGAATTCTTGGCAAAATTTCAATTATTTTTATAAATATTAAAACCCTTCTCCGAAATTCAATTATTTACAAAAATTTTAATGAAATTCTTGACAAAATTTCAATTATTTTCATAATTTATAAAATTCTTCGCAGGAATTCAATTATTTTGAAGAATTTTTATTAAATTCTTTATGAGAATTGAAATATTTTTAATATGATTTCAATTAAATTCATAGAAATAATTCAATTATTTTCGAAAATTTCATTCAAATTCATCTCATAAATTAATTTTTATCAAAAACTTCTACGAGAATTCAATTATTTAAATAAAACAAATTAATAATTTATTCAGTAATTGAATGTTTCTTAATATTTAAATTTTACAAAGAATTTTATTAACAACTTTTGTAAGTATTTAATTTCTATTATAAGGAATTTATTTTTAATTTTACTGAAATTTATCATATTAAAGAATTTTTTAACAATTTTTAAAAACAATTGAAAACTTTTTGAAGAATTTTATTAAAATTTTTAAAAATACATAATTGAATTCCTGAGAAGAATTTTAATAATAATTTCTGCAAATAATTGAATTCATGCGAAGAATTTTATTAAATTTTCTTTAAATAATTGAAATTTTGCGAAGAGTTTTATTAAAATTTTTGACAATAATTTAATTCCTGAGAAGAATTTCTCTATCTATTTATAAAGATAATTTAATGCTTGACTAGAATTTTTATAAATGTTTGAAAATAATTTAATTTCTGCAAAGCATTTTATTACTTTTTAAGAATTGAATTCTTGGGCTGAATTTGGATATTTATCTCAAAATAATTGAATTCTTGCGATGAATATTGTTATTTTTGAAAATAATTGAATTTTTCAAAGAATTTTATTAAAATTTCTAAAAATAATTGAATTTCTGTAAAGAAATTTAATTTTTTTATTTATCAAGATAGTTGCGTTGAATCTTTTGAAATAATTGAATAATATTAAGGTTTTGTTTTAAAATTGAGAATAATTTTCCTTTGAATTCTAAACATTTAATTTTTTTCCAGTACTTTTAATAAAAATCCCTGACTTTTCCCTGACCTGTGGCAACGCTGATAAATAAATTAATGCAATTTTTTAAAACTCTCTTTTTTCTTAATCGATAATTATATTGATCTCATTAAAATAAATCATAAAAAAAATAATTGAAAATTAATAAATAAATATTTGTTTTCGCCGTTTTAAGGGCTAATTAAATAAAGAAGGAAAGGATTGATTAATTTTAATTAGAGAAAAAAAAATCGTCACAATACCAATTGGAAATTGAGCATAATCCTCGAGACTCTCCAACCAAACGACCATTATTTTCGTATCCGTTTGCGCTGGAAGAGAATGCTTTGTCGTTCTTCTCGGTTTCACTGGATCCGAATTTGGAGGATTTGAATTTGATGAATTTGAACCAATACTCGACGGCTGCTTTCCAAGATCAAGTGACATTGTTCTTGGTGAATTTATCGTTGTATTTGGCGACATGGAAAATGTTTTTGAACCTGCACTTTCACTCGCACTTCTTTCAAACCAAGCTGAAAGAAAATTACATTATAAAATGAAAATTCGAGAAATTTTATTACAATTTTCGTTTTGCGTCTAATAATTATAATTGTATGAACATCTCACCTTGACCAGATTCATTAAAAAGCGTTTCATCCAAAGATTCAGAATTAACAGTCAACGATTGTGTCGGTACAACAAAAGCAATTTCGGAACTAACATCCGCCCAATATAAAACATGAGTGTTTCCATTGTAAATCGCTCCGCCGTGTTCACTTTGCGTTGGCTGTGGAACATTTATTTCGTTAATAATCTGCCAACTCGTAGAAACATTGCCAGTCCAACCGGCGTGTGAATTCACCGCCACAGTCCATCCGAGGGCATTTAAAAATTCCATAAAATTCGGCGAAACATTATTCTCATTTATTACATTCGATAGAATGGCATCGGGATTTTTTTGTCCCGCTTTCACATAAAAAATATGAACCGTATCACATGTTCTTGGACTGATACGATCAAGATTCTCGAGATCAGTGCAAAAGCCAGGAATCGTTGAGTCCAATGCAATTAAACCGCCGCCAGTCGTTGAATTTTCATTTGCTTCCTTTGGTTCTAAATTCAAAAAACCAAAGTGACTGAGAAAAAGTCTTGCGGTCTGAAATTCATGGCACACATGCGGTGGTGTGCATTCGTCAATTTTATCACTCGATTTTGTCGTTTCCGTTTCGTTATTAAATTTCAATTCCAAATCAATTTGATGATCCAGCAAATGCGATAGAGTTTGATGATCGTTCTTGAGAATGTCATTCTCGTTCATTACAATGTCCAAACTCGGTATTGAATCATCGCTAAATTAGGAGAAGAATTTTTTTTCATTAAAAAACTTTTTCAGATAAATTAAAAACTCATTCTTTTAAAAAAAAATGAAACTCTTTCTTTTTTAAAAGAAATATTTCCAAAGGTTGAGAAATATTACATTTTTTTCAGAAAGAAAAAAGAGAAAATGAAGAAAACAAAAATATTGAGGATGGAAAAAATAGAAAAATGAAAACTTATAAACAAAGAGAAATAGAAAATAAGAAAAAATAGGATTCTAACTTTTTCAAAATTATTTCCATCATTTGAATTCAATTATAATTTTCTAAAATTTTGAACTCTGATTAAGAATAAAAAAAATAGGAAGAATACTAAAAAAAGAGAAAGAATAATAAAAGAAAAAGAATAAAGAAAAGAGAAATTTAAAAAAAGAAAAAATAGAAAGAAAAGAGAGAATAAAAAATAGGAAGAATAAAAAAGAAAAAATAAAAAATACAAAAAAGAAAATTAAAAATAGAGAAACAAAAGAAAAAATAGAGAAAAAGGATTACATACACTTTACAGTGAGGAATTCTGTCGACATTGTCGGGGAAGAATTTCGGTTTATACTCCATACGTGGAGTTGGTTCGAGTAAAGGTAACGGACGTCCGGGATTTGTGTTCATACTCCTGACACTTGATCTGTGTCGAGGTAAATGTCGCAATTGCATTGTCCAAGCGTGTCGTCCAAATGGTCCGCGAATTAAAACAGTGACAGTTGGTTGTGGATCCTGATCATTTCCCAATGGTTCCTCCAATAATGCCAACATCGTCGCATTCTCAGCGACAAAATAACGAAATCGTTCGACTGCCGTCTGTCGAGGTACACGACCACCAGGCCAACTATTGCAGTGTTTCAGGAGCGAAACTTCATCCAACAACGAGGACAATGACTGTGTGCCACAAGCACTCGGAAAATATCCCACCTGTTAATTTATAATTTATATAATTTAATTTTTTATTAAAGTAATTAAATTTCTTTTATAAAGAATTTTTTTTTGTAATTTATCAAAATAATAAAATTTTTGCGAAGAATTTTATTTAAATTCTTTAAAATAGATGAAATTTTTGCGAATAATTTTATAAATTAAGAAAATAATTTAATTTCTGCAAAGAATTTGATTAAAGTTACGAACCTGTTCTAGAATAATTGTGAGTAGAGCATCGGCAGCATCTCTCACTCTCATCGACGCTGGTTTCAATTCTTTTTCGTCCTTCATTTTTATCGGCTCTCCTGGCTTTCCAACGCTTTTCGTCCCCGAAACTCCGAGCTCGACGACTTCCAAAACCGTCGCCAAGCAATCCTTATCCTTAAAAAAAAAATGGAAAAATAGAAATTTTCAAAATTTTGAAATTAGTTAAAAATAGAAATGAAAAAAATAGTAAAATTAGAAAAAAGCTAGAAACCTGTAAAAGTTGAGGATGAGCTGTGAGCCAAGTGGTTAAACAAGAAAAAGCGGCGACAATCGATGAGTGAAGATCCTTTGAATGAGAAGGAGGAGGTCGCCAACATTGATAGGCAATATAATCGCAAAGCCATTTTACAGCTCGTTTACATTCCAAGGCATCTGCAAAGAAATAGAAATGGAAAATAAATTAATAAATATCCAAATTTTCCAAATAAAACTATTCGTTAAAATAAATTAAAATTAATAAATTCAATTCACACCTGTAAGTTTCCTTGCTGCTTAAAAAAAAGATAAAATTTCAAAAAAATTTCTATTTAAATTACTTTTCTAATTTTTTTCATAACTTTTCTTTTTGATGCTTCAAATTTTAAAATTAATAAAATTCTAATTCAATTCTACTTTGAAGATTTAAAAATACCAAAAATTTATTAAACCAAATAGTTTTCAATTAAAAATATTTCTTTTAGGTATATTATTTCTTTTATAATTCTAAATCTGAGATAATTGGATTCTTATAAAGAAATTTATCCAAATTTTTCAACATAATTCAATTTCTTGCAAAAAGTTTAATTAAAATCTTTAAAAAGAAGTTAATTCTTCAGAGAAATTAAATTAAAATTAATATTTTAATTATTTAAATTCTTATAAAGAGTTTTATCAAAATTTTTCAAAGTAATTAAATTTCTGAGAGGAATTTGATTATTTATCAAAATAATTTAGATTTGAAAAAATAGATTTAAAAAAAAATCTAGAGACTTCATTAATATTTTCGTAAATAATAGAATTTTTTCAAAGAAATTAATTAAAATTGTATTAAAAATATTTCAATTCTCATAAAATAATTAGAAATAATTGAATTGATGCGAAAAATTCAAAATAATTAAAATTCTGCAAAGAAATTCATCAGCATTTTTAAGAATAATTGAATTCTGATATATTGTTAAAATTGGATTGAAAATAATTGAATTCTTTGAAAGAATTTAAAATAATTGAAATTCTGACTAGAAATTCATAAAAAAAAAATTTAAGAATGATTGAATTCTTTCGAGAATTGTATTAAAAAAATAATTTATATTCTGCTAAGAAATTCATCAAAAATTCTATGAACAATTTAATTCTTACGAGATATCTTATTGAAAAAATAACTGAATTATTGTTAAGAATTTTATTAATTATGAAAATAATTAAATTTTCATAATAATTTTATAAAAAAATTTTCAAAGGAATTGAATTGCTGTAAAGAATTTTATTAGAAATTCTTTAAAATAATTAAATTCATGACAAAAATTTTTGTAAATTAAGGAAATAATTGAATTTTTTCTAGAAATTTAATTAAAATTGTATGAAAAATATTTCAATTCTCATACAGAATTTAATTAAAATTTCCCAAATTAATTGAATTTCTTCGAAGATTTTTATTATTTAGGAAAAGAATTAAATAATTTAAAATATAAATACAAATAATTTAAATTTAATTAAAATTTAGAAAAGATTTAAACGAACTTTAAGTAAAGGAAAATAATTCTTGGTTTTTTATACCCGTTTCTCGAATTCGAGTCCTCGCGAGACCCGAAAGCATTTCAAGTGCAGCTAACGAAATATTGAGATCCGTTTTCCATGATGAAATCAGTCTGTGACAAACTAAATATGTTGCTCTTACAAACAGAGCGTGTGCCGAATCTGAAAAAATAAAAATAATTTAGAAAATAAATTCCAAATATTTTACAGAACACAAATTTAATTTTTTTTATTTTACTTCAATCGTTGTTCTATCATTTTGTTTAAAAACGCTTTTAACAACTTTCTTTCAATAAAATAAATTCTCTTACTATTCGAAGTTATAAAAAAAAAATAAATTTGTGTTCTCTCCCTATTTTTCTTTTCTTCTTCTTCTTCTTTTTTTTTTTTGAATAAAGATAGAAAAGACGAATTCAAAATAAAATCAAAAAGAGAAAATAATCGCAGAATGCACATAAAATTGAAAAATTGGCAATACTTGCGGCATTTAAAAATACTGGCAGAAAAAAATGAAAATTTTATTTTAAATATTGTTTTGAAAAATAAAAAAATACTCTATTTACCAAAAGCGATGCTCTCCTCTTGAAGTGTCGAAATATCGGAGGAATCGCCAAAGGATCGATGATCGCTGGAAATGCTTATCTGACTGGTTGAATCGCTGGTGACTACTCAAAGCGATGATCAATGGGCAGAATGACGAGAGAATGTGTATGTGTTTGTGAGAGAGAGAGAGGAGAGAGACAGACAACAGCAGCAGCACGTACACAATCCATGATAAAATATCGTTGAAGGGAGGAGAAAAAATAAAAATACAAAACACAAAAGCAAGTGAGAAAGCGGTATTCAAAAAATTATCTTCGCAAGTGCAATTTTTTTTTTTAAATCAGCCCGGCAAAAAGTGTTGAGCGAAAAAAAAATTGCCAAAAAATTTACCAACTACTTATGCTTTCTTTTGATTCTTTAAATTTCAAATTTCAAAATTCAAAAATCGTAATTATTAGTAAAATAGAAAACTTAGGTACTTCAAAAATATTGTTCAAGCATAAATAGCTTTTAGTAGTAAAATTATATCAAAAAAACTGTATATAAAAACTATGTAAAAACTACATAAAAAATATTTTCAGGGTTGCCACAAAAATTTAATTTAGAAATCAGGGCAGTAGCTCTAATTTTTTAAAATAATTTATAAGTAATAATTGTTTTGATAGTTCTTAAAAAATTAAAATATTTAAAAAAAAAAATTCCCTGAACTGTGGCAATCCTGATTTTTCAAAAAATAGATTAAAAATAGAAAAAGTAGATAAAAATATATATTGAAATTAATTATTAAAAATAGATGCACTAATTTGAAAAAAGAATTTGCCCTTTGGTGCTTACCTGAAGAGAGTAAATTCGTTGTATTATCGTTTGGAATTATGTCGGGTTGCGTTACTTGTTCCACTTCCTCGGCGGCCGCTGAATCTTGCACGCTCAACAATAAACCGCCTTGAAAATATTTTCGAAAGAATATTAATTTATACATATAACAAAAAATATTAATTCAAGTAAAATTAATAAATCGAGTAGCAAAAATATTCAATTTCCATTAAAACTATTTTGATATAATTAAAATTAAACAATTGAAAATTGCAATTCTCACCCAGAAGCATGTGAGTATTTTGCGGATCAGTTTCCACTTGCAAGGCATTTATCAATAAATTCATAAGTCTCGGTTTCAACTGGGAAAATGTAAACTGATTCCTCTCAAAATTTACCGAAAATCCATTCGGCAATTCCCTTATTGAAAGATTCTGAAAATGGAAACGTAAATTATTTTCTTTTCTTTTTTAATAATTATTTCTACCAGTTATTTACTTTAAATTAATTTCTTAATTTAATTCTTGATTTCTTTACTTTTAATTATATAGAATTCAATTTACCTGAAAATGAAGCGGCAATGCCAACATTGATATCAATAAATTAATCGACGCCCGTCGCAATTCAATTTTCGACACTGAATTTGTTTTTAGTCGTAAATCTTTCTCGGGTAGAACGACCTCCAATGCGGACAGTACAATTGGAACGAGAACTTGAACACCATCGAGATCAAGACGAAAGAGATCGGCTGAATTCAATAAAATACTGGCCAACGTTTCACCGCACTCCTTATTTTCATTTGTCTTCAATCCATGATACATGGCTTGATAGAATCTTGCCGAATAAATTGGAAGTATATCTTCGCCTGTTTTTTTCGCACAAAATATACGACACAGTGCGCCCATTGCCTCGGCGCGTCCCGATTCATAACGATCAATTACCAGTGATGAGGGGACATCGGCAATTGTGTCTTGTAAGGATGATGGTCCATCGACTAAAATTGACGACGGTCTTTTTGAAGCGCCAGTTGGTTCTGGAAGAGGAAAACAAATTGTATTCAAAATATAATAATAATAATAATAATAATAATAATAATAATAATAATAATAATTACAAAAATATTAATAATAATAAAATTAAATAACAATATTAAAAATTGAAAATGGAAAATAAATTGAAACTTACGTGGTAAATTTTGGGACCAACCGTCAGTGCCAATGAAAGCAGCTTCAAAAAGCCACTCGCCGAAGAGATGAAGAATACTGTTGCATTTCGGTCGACTTGGTGCCAAAGGTGGTCTCACATCTTGACCCAATGAAGTTACAGCTTTTAAACAAATTAAATTACATTTAAATCGAAAAATCTTCAATTCAATTTTTTGCTTGTTTCGCTATTTTTTCATAATTTTTCTTCTTCAATCTTTTGAATTCTTAAATTAATGAAATTCTAGATCAATACTTTGAAGAGTATAAGAAAATACAAAAAAAAATTTACTAGTTTTTAAAAACGATAAATATTAATAGTTAATTGCAAAATTAATTAATAATTGAATTTTCTTGAATTTTGTTATCTAAAATTATTCCAAAATAATTAATTTGGAAATTAATATTGGAAAATAAAGAAATATATAAATAATAATATATAATATAATAATATAAAATAAAATAATATATAATAAAATATATAAATAAATATAATATATAATAAAATATATAAAAACAAACCAAAAATGAACTTAAATTCAAATAAATTTTTTTGAAAAAAGCTTTACAAGTTGTAGATGATGTAGACGAAGGTCCAGAATTAGAAGATATCACTATTTGGCTGCTGGAAATTCTGCTCGTCGTCAAGCCAATCAACGAAGCTTTCGGAATACCTGCATTAAATAAAAATTCTTAAATTCCTCTTCCGATGTAAAAAAAATGTCGAGTTACATTTTAATTAAATTACAATATACAGAAATTCAGTCATCATAATAGATTTTTTGCTTTTGAAAATCTAAAAAATGTGAAAAGGTTTCATTTCCCAAAGTGAAAGAAAAAAAAAATAAAAATCTACAAAATGTGCAAAAATACAGATGTGAAAGAAAAGAAGAAAAAAAATTTTTTATTGTGACAAAATTGAAAGAAAATGTGTATATTTTTGAGGTGAAATAAATAAATAATAATCAGAGTGAGTGCAAATAAGAAAAGTTTTCAATATACCCTTGGTGACAGCCGAAGGTGTGACGCTGAAACTTTTTGCAAGCCGCCTCTGCGTCGGAGGTGTTGGAGAAGGCTGAGGTTGATCCTTTGAATTTACCTTCTCATTTCCAACACCTCCGGTACCAGAGTTTCCTATTCCTGTCGTGACGTTCGTCACACAACACTCCTCCCAACAACAAGCCTGTGAGACCCCTAAAAACATTTCCTTCTTTTCTTCTCTTTTCTTCATGCAAAACCAATCACCAAATTCGACAAGTATTTTTTTTTGCCAAAGAAAAATTTCCGTGCTTCTATTTTGTTTTCATTTCACAATCTCTCTATGCAGTGCAAGTGTAAATTGTTGAAAAATTTTCCGAAATAATTCCTTCTTCTATTTTTAGAAAAGTAATTAAAGTAATCAATTAATTAAATAGAAATTAATCAAATAAAAATTACTGAAATTAATAAATTGAATAAAACTTAAATAAATTAATTAAAAATTAAATTAATTAATAAAATTGAATCAATTAATTAATTAAATTAAAATAAATTACTTTACGTAGGTAAATAAAAAAATTCAAATTGATAAAATTATAAATTTAAATTGAATTAAAAAAAAACTAAAACTAATAAGTTAATCAACTTTTCTTTTTTTGTTTTCGGAAAATTATCCACAATTTTTCATAAATGTGCTGAGAAATAATATTTGCTTTTTTTGTTGTATTTACAATTATTTACAATAAAACTTACATAAAGTTTATATAAATTTTTTTTTTTTAAGTTTAAATATAAAATTTATAAAAAAAATTCTAGTAACTAAAGAACTTTTATTAAGTAAAGCGCAAAATCGAATTTTTCTCCATTTGAAAAACCGAACCAATCTGCAGTAAATTAATTTTCAACTATTAAATAAATTACTTTTTAAAACAGAAATTTTTCCGAAATATTTTTTTAAGAATAAAAGAGAAATTAGAAAAAAGAAAATAATACGTATTATTTTCTGTCAATAATTTTAGAGAGAAATAATTTAATAAAGAAATAATTTTATCGAGAAATAATTGAATAAAGATCTAATTTTCGGGAGATATTTACCTAGAAATGCGTCGACTTGTCCGGCAATACCTTTGATGGCCTTGAGAAAAATTTGAGGCAACGCTTGAAGACAGGGATGCTGACAAGGATCGACGACATTTGGACTTGCAATTGCATATCTCAGGAATGCCTGCGTTTGCGAAATCACTGCCGGCCGACATAAATCAATTGGATCGCCAACTGTTCGCAGAAGTCGGTACCAAGCTTGTGACACCGCCTCGTTTGTCATCGTGTGCGGCACAAGCTGCGAATCCTCCTCGCCTGTTTCAATTTACATTTCAATTATTACAAATAAATTTCTAATTCCAAAATTCAAATTACAAAATTTCTATTTCCAAACTTTAAATTCAAAAATATCTAGTTTCAAAATTCAAATTCCAAAATTTAAATTAAAAAATTTCTAGTTTCAAATTTTAAATTATAAAATTACAAAAAATAATACAAATATAAAAAATTACAGACGAAAATATAAAAATAAAGGAATAAATTTAATAAATAAACTGTTATTTGCAAATTTTCAGAATTACTTTCCTCTCCTCCTTCTGTATGGAAAATTGTTTGCTTTTGAATAAACTTACTGATTTTTAATTCGGGAAACATTGGTCCATACATAATTTGCAAAAGTCGTGCTGTTAATGCGAGACAAACGCGATTCCATTGTTCGATAAGAGCGAGTCGATGGCGCCATCGAAGGCAAGATTCACGCAAAGTTCTCCACAACGGAGGCGATGGAAAATTCTTCTCACACGCAACGAGCCAAACCTGAAAAATACATTTGCAAATTAATCATTATTTTATATTTTTATTTCGTTCATTTTAATTCTTCGGGACTTTTTCACCATTTTCTTTGTAAATTAAAAAAGAAAATAATTTTATATTAAATTTAATTGTAAATTATAATTGTATTATATTTAAATGTAAATTTTAATTGTATTTTACTTCGAGTAAAACGCCGAGAACTCTTTCACAAAGTTGTTCACCAGCATCTTCCCTAACTGCCGGAGGTGCCAAAAGCGCATCATTTATTCCAATCAAAAATAAAAGAAGACTCTCCCAAGTCTCTCTTTCCAAAGTGGCTGGACCTCGAGCCACTTGTTGCAAAGTTCGAAGTACTCTATGACAGAGGACTGCCTGTCGATTTATCGTATCCGCTCCTAAACGAACAATAAACTTATTAACATATTTCTTTTTTTCAAATTATTAGAAAAAAAAGAACATTTAAAAAAGACCCTTCACCATTAAAAGCCAAAAAATATTTTCCCTTTCAATTTAACTCTCCTCCTTATTAATAAAATCAAATTGAAATTTAATCAAAATTGTTTATTAAATTAAAAAGAAAAGTAAATGAAAATTTACTTACAACTATTGTTAATACAATTCTTCGGAAGAATTCAATTATTTCCATAAATAATAACATTCATCGGAAGAATCCAATTATTTTTTTATAAATAATAACATTTTTTGCAAAACTTCAATTATTTTGAACAAAATTTTAATAAATACTCATAAATAATTCAATTGTTTTTCAAAATAGTTAAATCACTGCAAAAACTCAATTACTTATCAATAAAATTTCACAAAAGAATTCAATTATTTTCTAAAATTTTAATAAAATTCTTCCTAAATATTCAATTATTTCCTATACAATCTTAATTAAATTTTTCACAAAGAATTTAAATTTTCATCGAAACAATTATATTATTTTTCAAAAATTTTAATAAAAGTCTTTACAAGATTTCAATTATTTTCATAAATAATAAAATTTTTCAAAGAATTTCAATTATGTTCAAAAATTTTAATAAAATTCTTCCTAAAAATTTAATTATCTTCATAAAAAGTAAAATTCTTTTGAACATTTCAATTTTTTTTCATAAAGAATTGAATTCCTCGGAGGATTTCAATTATTTTCATTATTAATAAAATTCTTCGGAGGATTTTAATTATTTTCAAAAATTTGAAACAAATTCTTGTCAAGAATCCAATTTTTTTCATAAATAATTGAATTCTTCGGAGGATTTCAATTATTTTCAAAAAATTTAATAAAACTTCGAAATGATTCAATTTTTTTTAAAAATAATTGAATTCTTCGGAGGATTTGAATTATATTCAGAAATTTGAAACAAATTCTTGTCAAGAATTCAATTTTTTTTCATAAAGAATTGAATTCCTCGGAGGATTTCAATTATTTTCAAAAATTTTAATAAAATTCTTCGCAAGAATTCAATTATCATCATAAAAAATAAAATTCTTTGGAAGATTTCAATTATTTTCATTTAAAAAAAAATTCAAAGAAATTCTTCTAAACAATTTAATTATGATTTTTAAAAATTTTAATAAAATTTTTTTCGAGAATTCAATTATTTTCATAAATAATAAAATTCTGCGAAGGAATTCAATTATTCTCAACATTTTTTGACAAAATTCTTTGCAAGAATTCAATGATTTTTAATTACATTAACTTTAAAATTGAAAATATTTGAAAAGAAAAATTATTAAAAAAGTTAGGAAACAAAAAATCGATTATTAATATAGATTTATTAAATTTTATTTATTAAAAAGTAAATTAAAATTTACTTTTCTTTTCTACATTTTCTTCTTTCTAAATTAAAGTCAAATTAAAAAGAAAAGTGAAAGTAAAGTTTAGTTTAATTTTACTTTCCTTTTCTTCTTTTTTTAAAAAGAAAAGTAAAAGTTTTACTTTTACTTTTTTTTTAATTTAACTTTAATTTGACTTCAAAGACAAAAATATTACGACAATACAAAAGCGAATAATAAACTTGAGTAAAAAAATTAAAAAGCTCCTTTTCTTAAAAAGGAAAATAGAAATAACGAATTCATTTACCTAAATCCTGATACAAAAATGGCCAGACTGCGAGAAAAAGTGTATTTTGAATAAAGTGCAATTTCTGGAGAAGTAAATTTTTAAATAATGTAATTTAAAAAAAAAATATTTTACCTTCTCCTCTCCTTGGAACAAATAAATTGTGAAAATGACTGATTATTTTTCTCGCGTAAAAATTTGAATCCTCAATTATTGGCCTTGGTACGGAGATTTTTGGCGATGAATATAATGCCGAGAGCCATTCACAATAAACATTGACACAATCGCGAACAGTGTCGTGTTCATTTAGAGGTAACGAGAGGCCATAGCAAATAACTTCCATACACCATTGTATTTCACGATCATTATTCAATGAACTTGGTTCGGCGGCTTGGGCAATGCCCAAATTTGCGGCCAATTGTCGTACAATTGATAATGCAACTTCACGTCCAACGCCGGGTGAAAATTTTTCCAATACACTTTGACTGTCTTCAGAACCTTGTTGAATTAGGGAACTCAATGATGCCCACTCGGAATACATTCCACCTCCAGAGTTCTGAAAATTAATTTCGATTAATTATTACAATAATTATCAATTATTTCAATTAATTATTAATTATTTCAATTAATTATCAATTATTTTAATCAATTACTTTAATTATTTCAATAATTATCAATTATTCCAATTAATTACAAGAATTACAAGAATAAAATTAATTATAATTGCTAATGAACACGACTTTTTAAAAAATTAACAGAAATTCTGCATAAAATTCAATTACGTTCAATTCAATTATTTTCAATATAATTTTAATAAATTTTCTCAAAAGAATTCAAATTGGTTTCAAAATTACACATATTTTTTTATGAAACTTCACAAAAATTGAATGAAATATTAAAGGAAAAAATAACGAGAAAAAGAACAAAGAAACACAGAAAAAAATACAGTATATATGTAAATAAACGGTATTTATAATAATAATAACAAACAAGAATAAAATACACAGTGGATAAAATTACATCCTGTTTAGAATATTTATCCGTGAGAAAATCTGAATCCGCGAGAAATATAAAAAAAGATAAAAACTAACCTTTAAATTGACTCTGTTGAATACGCCTAAATTCATAGATCATCAATTTATATTATATAAAACTAAAAAGAAGGTAAATAAATTTACAATTAATTCGTTTAATTTCAATAAAATTAAATAAAATATTCTTCTTCGTAAAAAATTGTCTCAATTTTTGAGGTTAGGTTTGTTTAAATCAATCTTTATATTTAAATACTCCGACTATTCTAGTTAACAATAACAATTTTTAGAACTTTTCTTTTCTGACATTAAGATACTGTATTGCTATTAAATAATTTGATGACAAATAATTGATTAATTGTAAGAAATAAATACAATATTTAAAGAATACAATCGTATTTTGACAGGAGCTGTCACTTTTGCATATTTAGTACCGAAAACTGTCACTTGAAAGAAGCGCTGAATTTTGGCGCCAAATTTTGAAATTTAGTGCAAAATAAAAAAATTCTAAAAAAAATTAAAGAAGTACGAAAAAAGTTTTCAAATAAAATAAATTAAGTTCAATTTTATTAAAAAGGATTTTTTTTCTATTTGAAAATTTTCTTCATTCAGCGAAATAAATTTTAATCCGAAAAAAATTTTCAAACAAAATAAATTGAATATAATTTAATTAAATTTGTTTTTTCTAATAAACAATTTTCCTAATTGTGAATTTTCTTCATTATAATGAAATAAATTTTAAATAAAATAAATTAAATATTTATTTAAATTTTTTTCCAATTAAACGAAATTAATTTTAAAAGAAAAATTGTTTTATTTGCTTTAAAAATTAATAATAATTTTAATTCTATAATAATAAGTAATAAATAATTCAAAAGAAAAATTTACCATTTGCTTTGAGATTCGGTTTCAAATTTGTAAAAAATGATTTTTCAAACAGAATTTTTGAGAAGAAAAATATTGATAAATATTGCTTTCAATATATTTTAGAAAATAAGAAAATACGCAGACAATGGTTCTAAATATAATTAATTTTAATTTTCTTTCTAAAGCAGTCTAATGTTTATTTTTTTATGATATTAATAATAATAAAAAGCACGTAGATATAAATTTTTTTAATTCTGTCATTTACAAGCGCTTTGCATTGCCTTCTCGGTGTATTAAATGGACGAACAATAAAATATGAAATTTTATTTCAAACGTAACAGTTTTATCAATTGTATTGCTACTACATTTTTTCTTTTATTCTCATCAAGATGATAAAATTAATTCACGATAAATTATTTGTATGTCGCATTGAAAATTTCATCTATCGTTATTTTTTCCTTCTTTTTTTTTTACAAAATTTTCAATAATTAAAAAGAAATTACGAGAGACAAAATGTTAATTTTTTGTTTATAGTAAAATTTAAAGAATGTAATTTTACTTTAATTGTGTAATTATTTAAAAAAAAGCCTACGATCTATTACAAATATTTTTTTTATTTAAATTAAAAAAGAACTTCTGACATAAAATGGTTTTTAATTGGTTTTACCATATAAAATTAAAGAAAATTTATCACGAATCTACGTGTAATTTGTTGAATATAAAGATTTTCTCTCATTAAAATACTAATGGATGTGTTTTTTTAAAAAAAAGTTTGTTTAAATCAGTATTGTAAAATTAAAAAAAAAAGAAAGCGATACTTCGGCAATAGTTAATGTCGAAATCGATCGACGCTGAAGAAAGAGAACTTTACACTTGAGCTGTACATGGTAAAAAAAAGTGTTCTTCCCTTCAGTTAATTGCAATCAGACCGGATTCGAGAAGTTTTTGCAATTTGGCCGCAATGTCCGGATTTTTAAGGTGGCTGTAAGAAAAAAATTTAATTATTAACAATTGTTGTAAAATACAGATAAATATAGTAATAATATAATAATAATTATTATTATTATAAATAACATAAAAAATTATTCACTCGGAAATAATCTTTAAAAAATTGCTTGAATTTTATTAAATAAAATTTTTTTTTTAATAAAATTCAAATAATTTTCTAAAGAATATTTTAAATACTTTTAAATTAGAAAAGAATTAAAAAAAAAATTTTGATTTACTTTGATGATTGTAAAATAAAAAAAATGTTAAATTCCTTTTTTTCTCTATTTTTGTTTGATTGTAAAATTAAAAAATTATCTATTTTTCTTTGATTGTAAAATTAAAAAATGTTAAATTCTTTTTTTTCTATTTTTGCTTGATTGTAGAATAAGAAAATTTTTAAATTTCTTATTTTATCTATTTTTGTTTGATTGCAAAATTAAAAAATTATTAATTCTTTTTTTTCTCTATTTTTGTTTGATTGTAAAATTAAAAAATTATTAATTCCTTTTTTTCTCTATTTTTCTTTGGTTGTAAAATTAAAAAATGTTTTTGTTTGTCTGTAAAATTAAAAAAAAAAAATTTCTCTATTTTTCTATGATTGTAAAATTAAAATTCCTAAAAAAAAAACAACTCACTATTGCAATGCTTTGGGATCATTTTGCATTTGTTCAAGAATCAATCTCATCGCTGGATCTCTCATTATACTTTGAACTTCAGGATCGCCCATCGCACGTTTTCTCACCTCCTCAGGATTCGAACTAACCGCAACAGAACACGAACGATATCCCTCCAATGCCTCTCCATTAGTTGGATCTAAATCCAATGCCTTTTGATAAGCACTCAGTGCCTTACCCTGCTGTTGCATTCCCTGTAAAATTTTTCCCTTTCTTATCCAGCCCTTGATGAATTTCGCATCAATTTCCACGCATTTTTCACAATCCTTCAAACCCAAGTCAAAAGCCGCCAATTTCGTATAACACGCAGCTCGATTACTGTAATATTTCGGATCATCTGGATTTCTCATTATTGCCTCCGTATAATGTTTAACCGCCGCCGCGTAGTCACCAATTTTAAATTTCTCATTGCCCAATTCTTTTTCCTCCTCGGCCTTAACTGGATCAATATAAGCCTTTCGCTCCTCCTCCTTAATTCTCTTCTCAATATCCGACAATAATGTACGAATTTCAGGTGTACGATGTTCGGACATTGATTTTTCGTAATTAATTTTCGCCTGTTTCCATTGATTTATTTTTTTATAAGAATGTCCTATTCTTGTGAATGCTTTTGCTATTAGCTTGAAATCGGCACGATTTTCGCGACCAATTTCAATTGCCTGCTCGCATTGTTCGATGCATTTTTGATATTCTTTTTGTTCAAAGTAAACGGCGGCGATATTTAATTGGAATGTGATATCAGTTGGATCGAGTTTCACGGCTTTATTGTAGTGTTCGAGGGCAACTTCGAAATTTTTCTTCTTGTAAGCTTCGTTACCTTGATTTTTCTCCTCTAGTGCTTGCCTCTTTTCGAGGGGTAAATTATCCTCGGGTTTTGATTTTGGCTCATCTTTGGATTTTTTCTGAGGGGCTTCTTCCTTTTTTGGTGGAAAATCTGTTTCCATTGGTTCGTCCATTGTTGTCATATTGACGCCGTAAAGAACGGCGATTGTTGTCATTATTCGTGTGTCCATTAATTTTGTTTTTAAAAGATTTGGATTTGTACGGAGGTCTTGAATCATTTTTAAATATTCGGGATCGTCGAGATAGGCTTTTGTTCTTGGATCGCTGCGTAATTTGATGAATAAATCGGGAGCGCTGAATGGATTGCCAATTGATGGTCCCTGTTGTGCTTTTAAATCGGCGAGACTCTCTTTTATTTGTGCATTCGATGGATCAAGTTGAAGAGCAGTTTCATAGGCTTTTATTGATTCGTCAATTTTTCCCAAATAAGCTAAGGCACTGCCTTTTCGTGAATAACCTTTTGCCCATGTTGGTTGAAGTGTTACGGTCTTCTCGGCGTCTTCGAGTGATTGACTGTATTTTTCGGCCTTGGCATAAGCTGCTGATCTGTTACTGTAAAGAACGTGATTTGAACCGTCAATTGCTATTCCCTCGGTGTAATATTTAACAGCCTCGTCATATTTGCCCTCTTGCAGAGCTTTGTTTCCTTTGTCCTTCAATTCAGTAATCTACAAAAAGGAAAAATATTTGTTTGTCAACAAAATTGCTTTTGATTCAAAATTTCTAAAAGCTAAACACTAAACTCAATTCAATTTGTATTTAAATACAAACATTTATTTTTTTATAATTTTTATTTTTTCCAATATTTAAAAGATTTTTTATTCAATTTTTTGAGAATTTAATTGTTTTCGAAAGTTTGCAATTAAAATTCTTCAAAGACTGATTTTTCAAAAATTTTAATGACATACTTCAAGAAAAATCAATTATTTTCAATCAAATTATTCTAAAATTTCAAATAGTTAAATACTTTTATATTATAAATGTAAAAAATTCAATTTTCTTTCCATAATTATTCAATATTTCAATTCAACTTCAATTTTAAATATTTTTTAAATGATTTCTTATTAAAATTCTTAAAAATTCAATTATTTTCAAAAATTTGCAAAATAAAAATCATTTAAAAACTGATTTTGAAATTTTTTAATTAAAATTCTCCAAAGATTAACTTTGAAGAATATTTTAAATCTTTTATATTATAAATTTCAAATATTTAATTTTTTTTCCATTATTATTCAAATTATTTTTTAATTATTTCTCATTAAAATTTTTGAGAATTCTATTATTTTAAAAATTTGCAGTTAAAATTCTAAAGAAGATTGGTTATCAAAAAAATTTTAATTAAATACTTTTAAAAAATCAATTATTTTCAATAGAATTTTTCAAAAATTTTAATTATTTAATAGAATTTTTAATTATAAATTGCAATTCAATTTTATTTGTAATATTTATTTTGACGATTTCTCATTAGAATTTGTTAATTGCATTTCAATAATTATTCAAAATTTCAATTTTAAATATTTTTTAAATGATTTCTTATTAAAATTTTTGAGAATTCAGTTATTTTTGAAAATTTGCAATTAAAATTCTTCAAAGATTGATTTTGAAAAAAATGTTAATTATTTGCTTAAGAAAAAACAATTATTTGCAATAAAATTTTACTAGAATTTTAATTATTTAAATTTTTGAGAATTCAATTATTTTCAAAAATTTGCAAAATAAAAATTCTTTAAAGATTGATTTTCAAAATCTGTAATTAAAATTGTCTCCAAAGATTGACTTTAAAGAGAATTTTAATAAAATATTTAAGAAAAAACAATTATTTTCAAGAGAATTTTTCAAAAATTTTAATTATTTAAGAAGTTTTTAATTATAAACTTCAAAAAATTAATTATCTTTCAATAATTGTTAAAAATTAAAAAAAAAATGCTATTAGTTTTATGTAATTAAAAATATTGTAAAGTAATTGAATTTTAAAAAATGACAAAATTCTAAAAATTTACTTTCTTTGAAAAAAATTTTGTTTCATTTTTTTGAACCAAATTTTTAGTTTCAAATTTTTATTTAAAGATTTCTCATTAAAATTTTTGGGAATTCATTTATTTTCAAATTACCTACAAAATGGGAAAATATTTGTTTGTCAACAAAATTGTGTTTCAAAATTTATGAGCTAAACACTAAACTCGTTATTTCGAAAATTCTAAATCGAAAATATTTCAATTTCTCTCGTATTTTATTCTCCTTTCGTTTTATTTTCTTTTTAATAGAAAGATTTTTAATTATAAATATAAAAAATTAATTATTTTTCAAGAATTGATGAAAAATTTGACTAAAATTATTATATAATTGAAAATATTTAAAAAATAATTGAATTTTGAAACAAGAAAAATTTCTAATAATTTCTTTATTTGAACCAAATTTTTTATTTAATTTTCCAAAGCTAATTGTTATTTTTAAATTTTTATTTCAAGATTTCTCATTGAAATTTTTGAGAATTCAATTATTTTCAAAAATTTGCAATTAAAATTCTTTAAAGAATGATTTTGAAAAGAATTTTATTAAATAATTTAAGAAAAATCAATTGTTTCCAGTAAAATTTGACTAAAATTGCAATTATTTAAAAACATTCTAATTAAAATTTTCAAAAATTTGCAAATAAAAATTCTGCAAAGTTTGATTTTAAAATTTTTTTTAATGAATTACAGAAAAATCAATTATTTTCCATAGAATTTTTCAAAAATTTCAATTATTTAAATGATTTTTAATTACAAACATCAAAAATCTAATTAGCTTTCAAGAATTGCTTAAAATTTTGAAAGATTTGACAATAATTATTATATAATTGAAAATATTGGAAAAATTGAAAAATAATTGAACTTTGGAAAATGACAAAATTTTAAATTATTACATTCTTTTCCTTTTTTAAAAAATAAATAAAAAATTGAACTTTTCTTTCAATTTAATATAAAAATTAAATTAAAAGAAAAGGAAATTTTTTTTCTTTCGTATTAATTAAAATTAATTCTTCGAGACAAATTTGCAAATTAAATTAATTCTAAAAGGCAAAATGGTCAAAATTAACGAAATTCGATTGATAAAAATGCGAATTCACGAGCGGCTTTCTAATTTTGAGGTTAGTTTCCAACTCTTTTGTATATATTTTCCCATCGCGTTTGTCAAAAGAAAAACCTTCTTTCCCCTCCGAAGGATTTTAAATAACCTTCTGAATTAATTTCCTCTCCTTAAAATTGAATAAAAATGGCAAGAATAATGAAAATTCTCTTCAATAAATGAAATAAATAAAATAAATACAATCAATTTAGCAACGAAATTCTCGAATGTTCAGAGATTAGGAATGAAGAGAAAATTTTCGAGGATTTTGCAAAAAATGAAAAAAAAAGAATCATCGGTACCATAATTTCATGTAATATTAATTTCCACAGAGAATTTCTTACTGAAATGTAATAATTTTGAGTTAATATTACATGAAACCACGCTGTCACAATGACTTTCAGACTTTCTTAGTTTATGACGAAATTCACGGTAAACATTTTTGGTGAAAAATTGTATTATTCTTAAAGGGGAAAAATATTGTGAGGAAATATTTATTCTCACCTTGTCCATAATGTCTCGATTCGTCTATTGCTTTTTATTAATTAGAAAAAATAGATTTCCAAATAAGATTTCAGCGAGTTCGATTATAATTAAAACCCTGCTGAGTAGAGTCTAATTCACACCGGTATTAACGACAGAAGGCTCCAGAACATTTTCAACACTAGCACTCCTGGCGGTGATTGTTGTTACTAAAAACAAAAGGGTTGAGTCGGTAAAAAAGTAAGAAGGAAATAGCAGAGTGAGGTAGGTAAAAATGTTTAATTTTATTGATTTTTCATGTGCCGTAGGTGCCCAACCCTGGTTACGTTGTTTGTTTTTTAAATCTCTTTGCAGTTGCAGTTGCAGATTATGTTAATATTGTTGAAGGTTTTAAACGTTTTTAAACGTTTTAAATGATTAAAAATTGTATTTATTTGAAAGAATGAGTGTTTCTAATGTAGTTTATACCGCATTTTTTAATCTGTCAGTAAATTGTCTATTGACTTCGACGAAAATCGTTGCAAATTGAAATGAACATTTTTAGGTTAGGTTTCTAAAAAAGAAAGTAAAAAGTAAAAGTTTATTCAAATAAAATGAATTGCAAATTGCATTCAAGAATAAAATCGAATAATAATTGATCCATTTATCTAATTTGGTATATTTATCAAAATAAATAATAGATAATTTAATAAAAACGGATCTTCGAATGTCAAGCATGTCAAGTAAGTTATTTTTTTACGCGCATTTAAAACTTGTTGTTTTATTTACTATATTTATATATTTATACTAAATTTTATTTATAATTATTACTTAATTTAATTCTTATTTGCAGAATTTAATTTTTATTGTACAATTTAATTCTTATTTGCAAAATGAAATTTTTACTGTAAAATTTTATTTTTATAATTTATTTTTTACGGGAAATTATTTAACAGCGCGAAAAATATTTGCAAATGCAAATTTAATAGAAATTAAAATTGCAATCTAATGAATTTTAAACCAAAAAAAACTAGTTTTGAATTATGCCAGTGACCTTTTATCCGATGAATCAATGGATTTTCATAATTGATTTATAATGAATGGAGTGAATAATCTTCATTATTTTCATTACTGAGAAATTATTGAATCATCTCATCTATAGAAGTTTTTAAAAACATCTTTCAGAATTATTTTCAAAATATTAACGATATATAAAAATTATAAATTAAATTCATTTAATTTAATTAATATTAATAAAAATATAAATAAATTAACTAATTAATAATTTATTTATTTTACTTAAAATAAGTTTATAATAATATTCAGTCAAATAAAAATTCGAAAACAATAAAAATGCAAGAATAGGAAAAATTATTCAATATAAATTCGAAAATAGGGAAAATTATTTAATTTTTATTAAATAATTTTCCCTATTTTGAAATTAAATAAAAATTCAGTTAAATAAACATTTGGGAATAGGGAGAAAAAAATTTGTAAAAATTCAGACAAATAAAAGTTTGAAAATTGGGAAAATTATTCAATAAAAATTTTAAAATACGGAAAATTTTTAATAAATGTTCGAAAATAATTAAAATTTAGTCGAATAAAAATTCGAAAACAATAAGGATTCAAGAATAGGAAAAATTATTCAGTAAAAATTCAGTTAAATAAAAATTCGGAAATAAGGAAAATTATTTAATTGCTATTAAATAATTTTCCCTATTTTGAAATGTAAAATTCCACAAAAGTATTCCGACAAATTATCAGAAGAGAAATTGAAATTACAAACAAGAAAAAAATAAATGAGAAATACGGGAAAATACCCATTTTATAACGGAATTTCCCAAAAAAGAGAAATTAAAAAGAAATGTGTAGGTGGGTTGAGGCCGAGCTTAAAATTGAAGAGAGCGATGACTCCTATTTATAAATATACGCATACATTTCGCATCCATGAGGAGACTGTTGAGATTTCCCCTCACCCTTTTCTTTAAAGTCCACGAATTACGGCGCCGTAGACGCGATTCTCTTTTCCAAAAAGGAAATAAGAAAAAGAAACAAAAAGAAAATAGAAAAATGCAATTTCTCAGAATACCGCAGACATTACGAATTGTAACCAAAATAAATTACAGGTCCTTGCTCCACATATATCTTTACATAACACTATGTGAGCAACAATTTTTTATTTTTAAAAAAACTTTTTTGTGTTTAATTAAAAAATGAGAATTTCTATTAATTCTATTTTTTATGAAAATAATTCTACTTGGACAAACAAAATTTTTGTTTAATAATATAAAATTATTAAATTGAGATAAAAATCCAGTCAAATAAAAATTTGAAAATAGGGAAAATTATTTAATAAAAATTTAGATAAATAAAAATTCTAGAATAGAGAGAAAATTAACTAATAAAAATTCAGTTCAATTATAATTCAGAAATAATAAAAAAAAATTAACTAATAAAAATTCAGTTCAACTAAAATTCAGAAATAATAAAAAAATTAACTAATAAAAATTCACTCGACTTAAAATTTCCATAAAGAAAAATTCACTCTAATGAAATTTGACTCAAATAATTTCCAGATTTCCATTAAAAATAAATATATCAAATAAATATTTCTCAAACGTTTTAATATATTGTTTCGATTTCAAATACAGAATGAAAAAAAAGGAAGAAAAAAAAGTGGTACTCAATTTATAAAATAGTTTCATCACACAACTTTTCCTAAATATTAAGATTATTTTAATTTAACTACTAATTTAATATTCTTTCAAAATTTTCTAACGATTATTATTCAGACAAGTTTAAAAAATTTTTTTTCAACAACTTTACCGAAAAAAAATGCAAGCTAATTTATTCCAAAGCTTTTTTCTTCATTAAAGAAAAAATTTGACAAACACACAATTTATTTGGCCTTAGAATTAATGTGCGATAGGTCAAGAGATTCTAAACACCAGAAATAAAACCTTGAGAAATATTGAAAAGGAGAAAAAGAAAAAAAAAATAGCAAATTTTTTTGATAAATTGTCAAAAAAAAGAAATAAATTTCTATATTTGAAAAAAATTAAATATTGTTTATTTAGAAGTAAATATGTAAAATTCTTTATTTGGAAATGAGTAAAAAAAATTCGTTACTTAAACTTTACATAAAGAATTTTATATTCTTTTATAAATTCGTAAGAAAAGAAGAAAAAATTTCTCTATTTGAAAAAAGATTTTTAAAAAATTCATTTTGGAAATAAATAAATTCTTTGCTTAAAAATAAATCAATATTTTTTTATTTGGAAATTAGTAAAAAATTCTTTGCTTAAAAATAAAAAGGAAATTCTTTACTTAAAAATGAAAAGGAAATTCTTTACTTAAAAATGAAAAGGAAATTCTTTACTTAAAAATAAAAAGGAAATTTTTTATTTAAAAATAAAAACGGAAGAATTTTATATTCTTTTATAAATTCACAAGAAAAGGAAAAAAATTTCTCAGATTTGAAATAAAAATGAAAAAAAAAAATTCATTTGAAAATAAATAAATTCTTTGATTTTGAAAATAAGTAAAAAATTCTTTATTTAGAAACAAAAAAAAACAATATAAATTCCTTTATTTGGAAAGAAATAAAAATTATTTATTTAAGAGTGTGAATAAAAAATTCACTATTTATTATTTAAAATAAATAAAGAATTTTTAATTTCTTTTTTTCAAATAGAGAATACTTTTTTTCCTTTTTTGTCATTTTATTAAAAAATTTGCCCTTTTTCTAAATTTAAGGAATTTTTTTAATTATTTATAAATAAGGAATTTTCGAATTACTTTAAAATAAAGAATTTCTATTTATTTCTAAATAAAGAATTATTTTATTTATTTTTAAGCAAAGAATTTATTTTCAACTGAATTTTTTCTTTTCTTTTTTAAATAGAAAAATTTTTTCTTCTTTTCTTGCAGACTTATAAAAGAATTTTACATTTATTTCTAAATAAAGAATTTTTTATTTATTTGTTAAGGGCATTTGAACCTTGATGACGTTACACTTTGTGCAAAGCATGTGTGACGTCATCAAGGTTCAAATGCCCTTAATAAAAAATAATTTATTTAGAAATTTTATTTAGAATTTTTTAATTTTACTTTTTAAGCAAAGAATTTATTTATTTTCAACTGAATTTTTTGTTTTCTTTTTTAAATAGAGAAATATTTTCTTCTTTTCTTGCGAAGTTATTAAAGAATTTCACATTTATTTCAAAATAAAGAATTTTTTATTTATTTAGTAATAAAAAATAATTTATTTAGAATTTTTAATTATTTATAAATAAAAAAATCTTTGTTTAGAATTAAATAAAAAATTCTTTCCCTTCTTTACTTGGGAATTTAGTAAAAAAAATTCTTGATTAAAAAATAAATAAAAATTCTTTATTTAAAAATGAGGAAGAAATTTCCTTTTTAGAAATAAATAAAATATTCTTTATTTAGAAGTAAATTAGGAATTTTTTTTATTTATAATTAACAAGGAAATAATTTTCTAATTTTTATAAAAATTGTAGCAATTTACCCAGAATTATAAAAATTTAAGTCTAAACTAAAGTATTGTCTTGTTATTATTATTGTTGGAATTATTAATTTTCACTGCGGGATTTAAATTCACCTCGCACCCGGAAATAGATCGAAAATATTTTTTCTACACAAAATTTCAACAATAGTTTCCTTCTCAAGATTAAGGAAATTTACAACAGGTTTTTCCAAATTCGTCCATAATGTGTATAAAATATTTGTAGGCGGAGGCGTTTTATTATTACTCAACACTTTTAGTTTTTATATTTCTGGACACAATCCAAGAGAATACAAATAATAATTATAATATTTTTCAAAAGAAATATTTTCTTCAGTTTCTATTTTAAAGACAAAAATACTAAATTTTTTTATTCTCAAATAATTATTAATACAAACACAAGAGAGTGAGAGAAAAAAAAGAGGGGGTGAGAATTGAAGGGCTTTACATAAAATTAACATTTTCCTTCTGATTTCAGAAATTATGGGTTATTCCACGAGAGTTAAGGGTGAGAAAAAGAGAGGGAAAAAAAATGATGAAGAGAGAGAAAAAATCCTCTGCAATTACGTTAACATTGTACATAATAATATATTTTTGGGGAAATTCACATTTACGCCCCTTCGGGTCTCATTTATGACTCATATACCTGCTTGATTTTCACCATAAACGT